GTCTCTGCACTTGGTCACACTGACCTCTGCTTTGTTCCCGGCCATCCCCTCTCCAGCCACTGTGCCCTTGCCTCTGCACTTCCTGGGCTGAAACCCAATCCAGTTTTCCCCTCCCCTCCCCTCCCCTCCCCTCCTCTCCCCTCCCCTCCTCTCCTCTCTCCATTTCTCTCCACTTCTCTCTGGCAGAGAGCAGGCATGAGCCCAGAACTGTCCACTCCTGCATGGCAGCAGCCTCCTGTTCACCTCCAAAGGGAGGGATGCTGGCCCTCGCCTGTCTCATTGTTGAGGAGGTCAGGGAGAGGGATGTCCACCTAAGTACATGGAAAATCGATCTTGAGTTTCTGGGATGCAGCACACCCAGGAAGCCAAGCTCCTTAACTGGTAGAACCAGGGCCTGGACTGGCCAAGCCAGCCAAGTTCCCACCCCAGTAAGGGGGCCCCAGGCCCTGACTCAGCACTGAGGATCGCACCTCCTGCACTAGGGTGAGATAGGGAGGAGGCTTGCTTTGTGTCCCCAGGAGGTCCCAGCTGGTGGGAGAAGTTAAGGTGATAAGACAGAGTCTGTACTGGGGGACACCCAGCTGGCCTGTTGGCTTCCATCAGGAGCACAGGGCAGTGAGCTCCTCGGGGTCTGTCTGGACGCCACCATCAGGGGAAGCTGGTGTCCAGGGCCCCCATCCCGCTGCACCTCATCTCTGGCTGGAGCAGCCGGAAGGGGAGAGCAGGAGACTCGAGAACCTGAGGAGCCGGGGCGGGAAGCCCCATGCCTGGCTGGCCAGATGCAGGGTGGGTGCGTGGTAGGAGTCATGCCCTGTGCAACAGTCCAGGAGCCGGGAGAAAGTGGGCACAGCAGCGAGGTCACCAGGGTCCAATGAGGCCACAGGGGTGCAGCTGCAACCACCCCTCAGCTTGTTACTTCCTCCCCCTGCAGTGCTGGCCCTTCCTCCTCCTCCCCTGTACAGGGCTGGGGCTCTGGCAAGCAGAGCTGGGTGTGCATTGGCAGTTCCCTGGCCCGGTGCCCACGCGGGCTTTCCTGACCTTTCTGCTGGCTCGGAGAAGGAAGATTGCTGTGTTCTTAGGGCTGAGGATCAAACACAGGGCTGTGTGTGTGCCAGGCTGTGCTACACCCCCTGCCCGGTATGGAGTGGTGTGTGAACTCTAGTCACCCAAGGTGCACGGTCACCATCCGAACCACTTACAGCTGGGGAAACTGAGTCATGCCCATCTAAATGGCATCCTCAGCACATTTCCCATGCCCATGACCCCGGTTTCTGCTCGTGTCCACTGCTTGCCTCCTTCACCCACCCGAGCCCCCCAGCTTCCCTGGGGTTCAGCTGGGCCAGCCTGGGGGAGCACACAGCAAGGACAGGGACCCTGTGGGCAGATTTGTACCTGCCCAGCCTGGGCTGTGGACAGCATGGCTGCTCTCTCTGGCTGCTTTGGTGGCCTCGTCTTCGGGGCGGGGCTTCTGCGCTTGCTATGGCCCTGACCCCCTGGAAGAAGGATAATAGTATTTTGCAAAGTACCATCACATTCTTCTTTTCCTGGTTTTTTTTTTTTTTTTTTTTTTTTTTTTTTCCTTTTCTGGTACTAGGAATTGAATGCAGCTCCTCTGCCTTGAGCTGAATCTCAAACTCTTTTTAAGTTTTACTCATTGACTGGGCTAAGCCTTGTGACCGTCCTGTTTCAGCCTCTCAGAGTGCTAGGATTAATGTCAATTCATTATCAGACCTTTCCCAGACGGGGCTGAGCCCCGTGGACTTGGCACTCTGAGTAACCTTGGAGGCTGCCTTCTGCAATTGTGCGTGTGCGTGACAGCTCAGCGCGGAGGGTTTATGGCTTCAGGAAGGCACCACTCCTGCCAGGCCCCTTCCTGCAAGGAACTCAGGCCTGCTGCCTGGTGGCCCTGAGTGCCCCGTGCTACGGCTGAACAAAGGTGATGATTTCAGATTGGGAGCCCTGTGGCCACTCAGCAGGTGACACCGCAGCCCCCCTCTCTCCTTCCTGGCGTGAGAAGTCCATGACCACTCGAGGGACCTCAGTCCAGCTACCACCTGGGAAACTGGCCAGTGGGGTCCAGAGTCACGCCAGGGCCTGCTCAGGGAGGAACTTAGCTTTGATCATCTTGTCCTTTGGTGCCCCCTGAGGGGTGCCAAACCACCCACAGCTGGACTCTTGGACTTTGGTTCCCAGGCCTTGCTCTTTCCGTGCTTTCTCCACTGGAGAAGGAACTGACTTACAGAAATGAGAATAAACACAGCATTGGGAAATAAAGACGCGCGTTCAGCAGCCCGAGACCAGTTCTGCCGGTGCCTGGGGTTGTGAGACTCTCGGGGCTGCATGGTTGCCGGGACTGGCCTGTGAGCTTCTCTCCTGCACCTGAGCTGGGGCGCAAATGGCCCTAGCTCCTGCTCAGGGCTGGCGGGTGCCCGAGGGTCTTTCTATTCTTTGCCACCAGGTGTCACTGTTGCTCACAATTACAGGACGCTGAGCGAGACTAACTCCCAGGCGCAGGCTCTCTGAATCAGAAACTGTAAGTGCAGGACCTGTCCCCTCTCGCCTTGCAGGGGTTCCCCAGCATGCTCCAGCCAGAGAACCACTGGCACAGACCATTCTGCAAGCCCCACGTTCCCTGAGCCTGTGTTTTGACCGATTTTATTCCCAAAGACAAGGTCTAGAGAGACGGCAGGCAGCTGGCTCTGAGGGTTCCGACCCGTCTCCTCTCCTCCATCACTGGAAGCATCTTTCAGCCAGCTCTGGGCGCCCTGTCCGGTAGAGAGGCCGATGGCAAAGGCCTGGTTGTCTCGCTCTGGGCGCTGAGCATAGCGCTTTCTGGGTAGGGTTTTCTTCAGTTCTTCCGTGGCCCTGACAAGTCACAAGAGATTGAACAGTTCGCCTGGGCCAGGCGCAGCAGCTCAGGCCTGTTCCCCTACCACTTTAGGAAGCTGAGGCAGGAGGATTTTAAATTCTAGTCCTGTCTGGGGAACTTAATGAAAGCATGTCTCAAAAATTTTTTTATTTTAAGGCTGGAGTTGTAGCTCAGTGAGAATTACGCCTGTAATTCCAGTGTTCAGCAGGCTGAGGCAGGAGGGTGTGGAGTTCAAAACCAGTCTGGCTTCACAGTGAGTAGTATCTAGATTGTGTCTCAACAGACACACACACTTCCCAAGCCCCAAAGCGGGGAGCAGCACAGAGCATTGGAAAGGGGCTGGGTGGGGCTGGAAGTCCTGGTTTTTCCCGCTCCCTGGCTCTGGCTGTGGCTGAGGCCTCTGACTTTCCGACTTGGACTCACGGGAATTCACAGTGTGTACTTACACGGCAGCGAGCTGGGTACGCCACAGATGCTTGGTACCACTGGAGACTGCCATGGCCTTCTCTCTCCCTAGGACAAACCACAAATGTCTCCAAAGGCACGTGAGGATGCCGGAGTATGGCCCCAGTTCCAGCCCTGCTGGCCACAGCCCCCCGGGCCACTGGTCTCTCCAAGGCAGCCTGAGCCTGGGAGCTGCCCGCGGAGGTGTGGCACTGACTGCGGGGCCACAGCTCCTGGAGACGGCGTCATCCCTCCACGTCCCCTTCTGAAACCTTGCCCTGTCCCCACCTGCCGCCAACCTGTGGATGTGCAGACAGTGTGGTGGTGGCAGGCGGTGGCCAGGAAGGCACTAATGTGCAGACGGACAGTGCGTGTGCCAGGCTGGGCCGTGCAGACCGACCTCAAGGCCCAGCTCTATTTCTTACTCATATTTAACTCAAGTGTGTCCTGCTGTTGTGCTTCAGTCTCTTTATCTGTTCTTCAAGAAATTTCAAAACTTTTTTTCTATCTCCCCTACCCCCCAGCCCACCCCAAAGCCCCCAGAAAAATAACTTAGATTCCTGGCATACCTCATGTTGGGCTCTCTCCAATTCTAGGATCACCCTACCTTGGATACCCCAGGCCCTTGGAGGAGGCATCCAGCCTTGCCTGCTGAGCCACACACAGCTGGGTGACTCCTCAGGGCAGAGGCTTTGTGATCGTGATCGCCCTTGTCCCAGCTCTGTGGCCTCTGCGGCTTCTGCTCTGCTCTGTGGAAGATGCAGAGTCCCAGGGGTCACCCAAGCCCGGCCAGCAGTGGGTGCTGGGCGTTCTTCGTCTCCTGCTTCCCCAGATTCAGGAAGTGCGTTTGCATGCCAAGGACTCAGACATCCTGCTGAAAAGTGAAAGAAAATGGAGAAAAATCTTGAAAGTAACCAGAGGAAGGAAAGTGACTCAAATATCTAAAAGCTACGGTAAGAATCAGAGTGGAGTTCTGGTCAGAAGCTGCACACAGGAGGAAAGCAGAGAGACATAGTGAAACTGACCACATGCCACATGACAGAAATGACACACATGACATGTGACAAAAGTGACAAGTGATGTGATTTACAGTATCACACTGGTCCGGCAGGATTCTTGTTCGAGACAGACCAGCTCAGCCTCATCGGGGAAATGGGGGACAGGGAGGGACACCAGTAGGTGACTGGAGGTGTGTGGGAAGCCGCCTATGATGGCGCCCATTTCCTGCTTCCGGGTTCTTCCCGGCCTGAGCAAGCCCGCCAAATTGTCATATCTGCCCAGTTACCCGTGACGCTAGCCTATCAGCTTGTTAGGCGCGCTTCTCTGTGATTGGATACTGCTTCCCCTTATAAGAGGTTGTTCCTGCCCCCAACGGCGGAAGAGGAACCAACGTTGAGGGTGGCGGACCTTGTCAGGTCCGGTTCGCTGTACATAATAAAGTTTGAGAGCTGATCCTGCTCGAGTTTGGTCTCCTGTCTCCCGCGGCTCCGGTCATCTGGTGGCCGCCCGTACGGGGAAAAAGGTAAAAGACTCAGCGACGTGCCTCTTCGGCCGGGAGGTGCGATTGCTGTCGCCTGCGGTACGACGGAGGACCTGGCCCAATAACAACGGAAGGCCGCGAGCACCTCTTCTCTTCACCCTGATCAGCTACGTGAGATACAGCGGTTCCCGGGACAGGTGAGTACTGGGTCACCTGGGTTGGGTGGATGCACCTAACAGATTTTGAGCGCCACACGAGTGGACGCCGGTTTTTTTTTTTTTTTTCTTTTCTTTTCCCTTTGCATCTGTTTTGCTTTCGCTTCGCTAATACAGCCCGACAGGCTTTTGATAGAGCTCGATCGGAATGCTCAGAGGAGCCCGGAGCCACTGCCGATTGTGGGTCTCCGGAGGACCCTCAGGGCTCTAATTCTGATTCGGATTCGGAAGGCTCAGAAGAGGAGGTCGTCTTTGCTAAGCATGACCCTCCTACACCGTTAAAAGAGGAACTTAGGGCTCGGGAAGATAAAAAGGGGAACCAAACACCACCCTGCCCGAGCTACTCCGCCTTACGGGAGGAGCTTAAGCCCTTCCGCTCCTTGGCAAGTTCACGGTCCTTCCACCGGAGGGTATGGTCGCGGCTTCCTTTTGAGTGTTCCGGTCTCCATGCATTCCCGGTAGCCCTTAGAAATTAAACAACTTAAAACTATCAAGGACGCAGTTTCAGCTTATGGGCCCAATGCGCCATTTACCATGGCGCTTTTAGAGGCATTGGCAGGTCTGCTTTTAACTCCTGGAGATTGGACCCAGCTGGCACGCGCCTGCCTCTCCCCCGGACAATATTTAGATTGGAAGTCCTGGAATGAGGAATTCTGTGTAGAGCAGGCGGCAGCCAACAGGGAAAATAACCAGAGAGAGTGGAACAGGGATATGCTATTAGGGCGAGGAGCCTTTGAGGAAGATCAAACTCAATACCCTCGCCAGGTTTATGAACAAATTAGCCGCTGTGGCCTCCAGGCCTGGAGACGGCTGGCTGGAAAGGGAGAACATACGGGTCACCTTACAAAAATTATACAAGGGCAGGGAGAGCCATTTTCAGACTTTGTGGCCCGCATGCTTGAGGCCGCTAACAGGATTTTTCCAGATGCTGAGGCGGCTCACCCTCTCATAAAACAATTGATTTTTGAACAGTGCACTAAGGAGTGCCGTGATGTCCTAAGAACTAACAAAAATAGGTCCTTAGAAGAGTGGACATGCCTGTGCCGTGAATTGGGTGGCCACGGCCTAACGCCCAAAGGAAGAATATCATTGGCGCTCTTTACCATAAATTTTTTAAACCTTAATCATAAAAATCATTCCCCTGCCATGGAACATAGCAATCCGTCCCCAACCGACAAAGGGCTGGTGAGATGGAAAGATGTCCTTACAGGACAATGGATGGGCCCGGATCCAGTGGTTAGTTGGACCTGAGGTGCGGTTTGTGTCTTCCCACAGGAACCAGGCTGCGAACCGCTGTGGGTCCCGGAAAGATTGACGCGAGCAGTAAACTCCCCACCAGTTCCTGATAAAGCACAGGAAGATAAGCCCGCGGACACAAGTCAACTCGACCCTTCTGGGACCGACGCTCAGCGCCCGAGACCATCTACAAACTAAAATGTCTGGTTTGGAGCTTTTTCTATTCTGTGGGTTCCTATTAATCACCCCTGTTCGCACAAATTTGACCAACACTGTTAAAAATAGCCAGTTTGTGGGAACGCGTCACCTCCTGGTTCTCCTGGCCCAACCTGACTACTTGGATCCTGATTGCCATGGCCATCCTAGTGGGGCTTGTGGTTATTAAATGCTTGTTAGATCGCCTCATACAAACTCAGCAGCAGGTTAAGATCACAGCTATGGCAGCCATGCAAATGGCAGCAGGTGACCCATCAGGCCAGCAGGCCGCCGCATATCTCCTTCACATTGCAGAACATCAGCTATAAGAGCTGAGTGGGCAAGCCAATGACGGGTAAGACGGGAAAAGCCCTCCCAGTCAACCTAAGACAGGCTCCACTCAGATATATATGGCCTATAAGGCCAGGGGTCCCTCCCGGAGTCAAATTATTGGCATTGAGATGCGAGACCAAGGGTACTGCAGTGCCATCCGCCTCAAAGGTTGGGGGGAAGGCAGGAATGAATGTCTATATGCATCCAGGTTCGGTTCACAAAAGCCTGGCCCTGCGAAAAAATGAACCACTCACCTTGAGCATGGTCCTGGTGCAAGGATATGCACAAAACAGGGTGATGCACAGCAGGGTATAGACCTCTACATTCTCTCATGCCTCGGCCTACAAGGTAGGCCCACTCCTAGGTGTCTAACAGCAACAAGGTCATAGACACCTTGGAGGGACCTACAGACCATCCTATTTTAATAAATAAAAAAGGGGGAGATGTGGGAAGCCGCCTATGATGGCGCCCATTTCCTGCTTCCGGGTTCTTCCCGGCCTGAACAAGCCCGCCAAATTGTCAGGTCTGCCCAGTTACCCGTGACGCTAGCCTATCGGCTTGTTAGGCGCGCTTCTCTGTGATTGGATACTGCTTCCCCTTATAAGAGGTTGTTCCTGCCCCCAACGGCGGAAGAGGAACCAACGTTGAGGGTGGCGGACCTTGTCAGGTCCGGTTCGCTGTACGTAATAAAGTTTGAGAGCTGATCCTGCTCGAGTTTGGTCTCCTGTCTCCCGCGGCTCCGGTCAGAGGTGACTGGATGTGAGGTCCTGCCACTGACCAGGGAGGGCCCTTTGCTAACCTGGACTTTACTCGCAAATGCACAAGTGGACCAGGGAGAAGGTCTGGGAGTCTGACCAAAGTCCGGACAAGCAAAGGACTCTGCCAATACTGACAGTGCCAAACCCTCACCCTGAACCTTAAACCCTGACTAGCACCAAGGGTACGCAGCTCGGTCCTTTCACCGCCTCACTGGTGACAAGCCTTGGTGCTTTCTTAGAGGACTGGTGTTTGGAAGTAATCCAAAGTGATTCAGAACCAACTTCTGTGAATTAAGAAAATGCAGCTGATTTCCCCGATGTGCACGCTGTGTGGTTCTGACTGCAGTTTCAAGAGACGAAATCCAAAAACTGTTCTAAGTGAGGCCCCAGAAGAGCCTCCTGCGTGGATGAATCAGGGCAGTAGCTTCGTGAATCGTAGACAGCTTTCCAGTCAGCTTTCTCGTACCTTTTTCACAGCACTCACGAATTCCAGGTCATTCTGAAACAAGTGCCACAGAGTTCTGTGAAGACGACAGCTGCCGCTGCGTTTGTGTTTGAAGAGGTTGCTATGGCTTACAGTGGTTGCATTCGCTACCTTTACAACACTGTGACAAAATGCCCCTCAGAATCAACTTAAAAGGAAGAAAGGTTGATTTGGGGTCCGGTTTCAGGGCTTTCACCCCACAGTCACTGCACCCTGGTGCATCATGAGCCCCAGCAGTGCACTGTGGTGGGGAGGATGTGGCAGGAGGAGCTGCTCAGCACAGGACACCAGGAAGACGGAAAAGAAAGCCCGAAAGGGCTGGGTCTCTACGTCCTCTCCAGGGCATGGCTCCAGTGACCTGACTCCCTCCCACGAGCCACACCTACTAAAAGTTTCACTGCCCCCATCAGTAGCACCAGGCAGAGCCTTCCACACCTGGGCCTCAGGGAACCTGCCAGACCCAAAACTCAAGCAGTGTTTGTCACGGAGACCCGGCTTTCCAAAGGCTCTGGGACATCGATATTCTCTCCATCTCCTGCCAAGACCAGTTCTAATTTAGCCCAAGGATGAAGCTTATGAATCGCTAAGCACGGTGCACATCTGTAATCCCAGCACCCTGGAGGCTGAGGCAGGAGGTTACTGTGAGTTGGAGGCCAGCCTGAACTATGGAGTGAGACCTTGTCTCAAAATAAAACAAAACAAAAAACCCCCAGCAAAACAAACAAACAAAAGGAGCCACCAAGCATGGCACTGAGGCAACTGTGTGAGCCAGACACAGGCGCTTCTGTCTGCACAGACCTCCAGCCCCCCATTTCTGCCCAAAGACCAAAGCCAGCCGTCCGGAATCATTTCTCCCCAGATATCAGTGTACAACACTTCCCAGGGGTCACCGGCCCATTTGGAGCACTTTCCTAGTCTTTCTGGTGACCATCTCTCTTTTGCCTTCTTTTGACCTTTTCAAGATGGTAATTTGTTTTAGTTTCAAGGAAATGGACTAACTTCAAATTGTGTGAATCAGAGGCCACTTGTTCAGAAAAGGCACAGGCGCCCCCTGGTGGGGACACACGCCCTTTCCGGCTCCCAGCAGAAGCTCTTCTGTGGCCAGAAATCGTGGCCTGGAGCTCAGGGAAGGGAAGTCGAGGTAAGAAGACAACTTTCCGGGTTCGTGGAAACAAGCATTCTCCCCACCAAATAGGTGGAGTAAAGAGAACAGAAAGAATACAAGAGGAAAAAGCCAGTAATTTTTATTACAAATTTCTAGCTGGTCAAAAACGTTTCTAGATTGTACAGAGGAGACAAGGCAAAAAAGAAAATGTAAAACATATAAAAATGTTTATTGCTTATTTTAACTTAAGGTATTATATGTCTATTATGGACAAGAAATTGGGAGAGGAAACCAAACCAGTATTTTTTAAAATTTTATTAAATTTATTCTTTGAGGCAAGGTCTTGTTATTCAGGTCAGCCAGGCCTTAAACTCACCTTGTAGCGCAGGCTGGCCTCAAACTCAGGGCAGTCCCCCTGCCTCAGCCTCTCGAGTGCTGGAATTACAGGCGTGCACCACCACACCTGGCTAAGTTAAATGTATTTTATTTTGCTTTTGGCCTTTGGTAGCAATTACTTTTCAGTAGTTGAAAGGCTGTGAATATAAATAAATGTAATTTATAATATCTGCAGCAAATTAGAATTTACATACACAAATCTTTTTTTTTTTTTTTTTTTGTCTTTTTCCCTTTTTATTGGTACCGGGGATTGAACTCACCACTGCCTGCTTGCAAGGCAGGTGTTTATACCACTGAGCTAAATCCCTAGCCCCTACATATACAAATCTTAAGGCTAGTGTCAGTGAATTTGGATCAGTGGGTGTAGATACCTTCATAACTCCTACCCTGACACAATATGCAGCTGAGTCACCCAGAGGGTTTGCGCGTGCCCCCTGGCATCCAAGTTTGCCCCCTCCCGGGAACCACCACCTGATTTTTATCACATACATGGTTTAATTTTGCCTCTTCTTAAACCTCATCTAAGGGCCTGGGGCTGTAGCTCGGTGGTAAAGAGCTTGCCAAGCATGTGTGGAGCCCTGGGTTCAATCCTCAGTACTTACAAAGAAATCTTCATGAACATAGAACCATGTGGGTTTTTGTTTGTTTGTTTTTGTTTTTCTGAGACAGGGTCTCACTTTGTAGTTCAGACTGGTCCTGAACTCTGTGTAGTCCAGGCTGCCCTTTGACTCACAGCGCTCCCCCTGCCTCAGCCTCCTAGGTGCCGGAATGACAGGTGTGTGCCACACACCTGGCTCATGTAGCTTTTCTGGAGGGCGATGCGGGGGTCAAACCCAGAGCCCAGAGTTATACCGGGACTTGCTCCTCTCCTGAGCTCCAGCCCAGCCCTCAGGTATCCTTATAAGCCCATTTTTTTAGTACAGACTTTTTGAGACGTCTTTGTGTTGTTGCATGTGTTCTAATTTAGTCTTAAGATGGAGTAACCTTTCTCTGATCGGGAGAGACATAAAATGGAAATAGATCTTTATTTGTTGCAGGTCGCGCTGGTACATGGCACACCTGAGGGCTATGCAAACAGAGGGGCGAAGGAAAGGAGAGGGGCGGGGGAGGGGAGTGAAGGGGAGGGGAGGGGGGAGGGGAGGGGGCAGAGAGACAGATCAAGCCCTTTTCGCGTCCAGGGAATTATCCCATTAGGTACCCGCGAGGAGCCCTAGCTGTGAGCAGACCCCAGAGGAAGGAGGTCCTGCTGCCCGAGGGTGGTCAGTCCGGGTAGGCTGCGTCTCGCAGTCCCACGGTGACGCAGCCTCTAGGGAGAGGCAGGCGAATGGATCGGTCCTGGTGAGGATCCCGGAGAGATGCTGCAGACCAGGGAACTGTGCAGCGGGGGCCGGAGCCTGGTGGCCACCTGGGAGAAAGTCCTACTTGCATTTTAAATTTAGGTGAGGGCAGCAGAAGAGGATGGGCTGCAGGTGGAGCAGGAGGTGAGTGCTGCGCATCGGGCAGCGTGGTGTGGGAGGAGCACACCCTTTACCCGCCTCCTACGGACAGACCCGGGCTCATTTGCACACTTTGGCAATTGTGAATTACATCATGGAGAAGATTTGTCAGCCTTTGAATGTACCGTCTGTCTCACTTCTCTTGTATAAAAATCTATGATCTGGGTCATAAGGTAGATGTAAGTGTCATGGTTTTCCAGAGGGATTGCGTCATTCTGTACTCTGGGTAGGAGAGTTCCACTTCCCTGGAAAAGTTGGAAATTTTATTATAAAGGGTGACAAATTATATTTCACTGTCGCTTGAATTTGTGCGACCCTGTTGAACATCCTTGCCTGTGCTTTTTAGTGATATATATCTTTTCAAGATATCTGTCCAAGTCTTTTAAAAATTAGTTGGTTTGTCTTTGTTATTTGCAAGAGCTATTTATATATTCAGACATAAAACTACTGCATTATATATTCACTGCAAATATTTTTTAATAACCTGACTTGCCTTATTTTATTAATGATCTTTTAATATAAAGACGTTTTAAATTCTGAGCTAGCCAAAAAACATCAGTTATAAGAAAATTTCCCTACCATGTTATAAGGCTATATATCTAAATTTTCCAGGAAAATCGCATGCCAACATTTGTATTTAGATTGATGACACAGGGAACAAGTTTCATTTTTCTCACACATTTATCTGATAGTATGTGAAGAACACTTCTCTTTCCTCATTAAATTACTCTGGCATCTCTGAGCCATCTCTTTGTGGGTTCTCTTCTCACCCTTGATGGATTCACTTAAAACACCATACTGTCTTGATTACCCTGGCTTCATAATAGTTTTGAAAGCAAGTCTGTGAATTCACCAACTATTTCAAGGCTGTTTTGGCTATTCTAAGTTCTTTACATTTTTTTACAAATTTTCAGTCAACATCAATTTCGATCACAAACACTTTGAAGTTTTAATTGGTGTGATGTTTGATTTACAGAAAATATGGAGAACACTGACATTTTTAAAACTATAAACATGCATTTTAACTATTTAAGTTTTCTTGAATTTCCTCATGCTTTTCTTAAAATTTTCATGTTGTATAGTTGTATATACTTTGACAAGTTTTTCCCAAATGTGTTTTGTTTTTGATGCTGTCAAAGGAGACTTTAAGCATTTATATTCAAATTAGTACACAGAAATACACTTGATTTTTAATAAGAAATTTGCATTCTGTGAACTTAGTGAATTCACTTTTTAACGTTACAGTTACTTCATAGACGGTTCTGTCAGATGCAAATGAAAGCAGCTTTTCTGCCTTCTTTACAATCATGTTGCTTTTGGTGTTTTCTTTGCCTGGTTGCAACTGTTGCAGCTACAGTACAATGCTGAATAGATAGAGGTAGAATGGAAATTCTTGCCTTCTTCCCAGAGGAGATACATTCAATATTTCACCCTCAAGTATGACGTAAACTATAGATTTTTCATAAATAGGCATCAGAATGAGGAAACTTCCTTGTATTCTTGATTTCTGAGACTTTTTATTATCATTGGCTGTAGGTTTTTGTCAAACTCTTGTATAACTTCAGAGCGATCAGACTGTTTTTCTTTATTTCCTTCAGGCAGTGAATTATATGATTGATTTCCAGTGTACAAATTCACACTGAAGAGTAAACTTCACTTGTACTTCTGGTATTTTTCTTTTTTATGTATTTCTGGGTTTAATTTACAAATGTTCTGTTAAGGTTTATGTATCCACATTCATAAAGAGTACAGGTATGTAATTTTCTTTTCTCATAGCATCTTTATTATATTTTGGTTTCAAGATAATTTATTGCTGGTTGTGTCAGGCAAACTGGAAACTGTTCCTTCCTCTTATTTTTCTGAAATGGTTCAGGTAATATTGGTGTTATTGTTTACCCTTAAATGTTTGATATGATTTACCAATAAATCTAGCTGGTCTAGTATTCTCTGAGGGAAGGGTTTTAGTTAGGAATTCAATCTGTAATAGGAAAATAATTATAAAAATTCCACTTATATTTTATAATTACTTTGTGCCCATTTTGATGATTTGAACTTTTAAGCAGTTTTCTTATTTTATATAGATTGCTGAACTTCACGGCATGATGTTATTTATAAGACAGATGTATTTTTTTAATATGTGTAAGCTCTGTGATAGCACCCTTATTTCATTTCTGGTACACATAACTGATGTTTCTTTCTGTTTTTGCTTTAATTTGTCTTAGAAGAGTTCATCTATTTTATTAATCTTTTCAGAGAACTAACTTTTGCATTTGTTAACTTATCCCATTTTTTTTTTTTTGTATTTGCTGATTCCTGGTTTTACTCTTATTATTTATGCTACTTATTTGGGGTTTAATTTGCTCTTCTTTTTTATTTCTTAAAGTGAAACTTAGGTAATTGACTTTAAACATGTCTTCCTCCATTACACTGTGTATATTACTTAGCTTTTGTCACTCTCACAAAATAGCTGAGATAAAAAATTTACAAAGAAAAAGGTTTATTTTGGATCACAGTGTCAGCGGTTCAGTCCATGGTCACTTGGCTGTATTGCTTTGGGCCTGTGGCAGCACGGACACCATGGTGAGGACACACTGGAAGGAGCTCTGCTCACCTTGGGGAGCTCGAAAGCAGATGAGGCTCTGCCCCCTAATCCCTTCCCAGTGACCTGGGTTCCTCCCTCCAGGCCAATCCTTCTACACGTTCCACTGCTTCCAACAGAAGTGCAGGCTGTGACCAAGTCTCCACCTAGCACAGGGGCTTGGGGGACATTTGAGATCCGAACAGTGACATTGCATGGGTGCTGGCTGTGACCAGTTTCATGCTAAGCTGTGCTTTTACCTCATCACTCCAAGTCTGAGGTGCTTTCAATCAGCTTCAAGAGTTCCCCGAGTTCCCTGCTAATTTCTTCCTTGTCCCATAGGTGCTGATTAATTTTCCTGTCTGTGAGCTTTTCTAATTATCTTATCATTATTCATTTATAACTTCTGGTGTCAAGAGAACACACTCTGTCAGACTGAAATTTATGTAGACTTCTTTTATGGCCTAATATATGGTACTACTTATTAGTACATGGTTTATATATTACTACATGGCATATATATATATGGCATATATTAATATATGGTATATGACATATATAAGGATATGGCATATATATATTAATATATGGCTTAATATTTAGTAAATACCCCATATGTACTTGAACTGTTACTGTTTGCAATAGATTGAATAATGGCTCCTAGATATTTATTGGTCCTGTGTCTAAACAACAACAATAGTGTATGCGTGTGCAAGCCAGGAAGAGATGCAGAGACTGGCTCCGGGAATTGTGGCAGCTGATGACTCCGCCATCTGCAAGGCGGGCAGGAACCCAGATGGGTGCAGTGTGGGACGGCTGTCCGCTGGGAGGTGCTCTTCTTGGGGAGAGCAGTCTTGGTTCCATTAAAGGGCTCATATGTCTGAATGAGGCCCTACCACATTAAAGAGAATAATCTGACTTGCTAAAAATTTACTAATTTAAACGTTAATCTTATCTACAAAATACTTTCACAGAAACATCTAGAACTTATGGCCTAGCCAACTTGTAACAGAGACTTGTGGATGTGATGAAGGATCCTGACACGGGAAGATTATCCTGGAAAACCCTACTGGTCATAATATGGTCATAAATGTCCTTACAAGAGAAAGGCAGAGTCAGGTGTGGTGGCACATGCCTGTAATCCTGCCACTCTGGGAGGCTGAGGCAGGAGGATTGCAAGTTCAAGCCCAACCTGGAAAAATTAGCCACTTAGCAAGACCCTGTTTCAAAATGCCAAAGGGCTGGGAATACAGCTCAGTGTGAAGGGCCTGGTTTCAGTCCTGGGGGGAGAGAAGTGGGGAGAGATTGATTTAGTTACAGAGACAGAAGGAAAGCTGCTGTGATGATGAAGAATTTGAAGGCACCGCACTGCTGGTGTTGAAAGTAGCTACAGGGACCATGAGCCTAGGCCTGGAACTCACAGTGTACCCAAGCTGGCCCCAACTTGTGGGAGACAACTCCACTGACTCCCTTTGAATCCAAATCACTGTGACTTTGATTATTTGGAGACTCACTTCCTTATACTGATGTGTAGAGAGCTGGCTACGGCTATTTCCTTCTCTCTTTCGTTGGCTCTAAGCATTGCAAATAAGGCCAGCAGAGATGCTCACATGTAATCTCTAGCCAATAGACAGTCCTGTTTCCTCTCAAAGTGTTTTCCGTACAATACAGATATGTACAGGATGTGAGCACCCCAGATGTTAGAGCAAACAGGTCAACTGGGTAGAGCCTCAAGATAAGAGGCTATGACTCCCCAGGGCACAAGAGTTTGCATATCAGAAACCAAAGCAATAGTCCCCCAAAACAATTCCACTGCTACCTTAATTGGGTTATGTAAATTGATCCTTCTATAAATCTTTATCTCTGCAATTTACATAGATGCCCCACCTGGCCAGCCAGCTCAAGTCACTCACGTAATTCCTGCCATCCTCTCTGTCCCTCATCCCTGAGCCACCCACCTTCTTCACAAGACAATAAATTCTGGGAGAGGCCTAGAATCAAAGCCTTTGTCTGCAGCTCCTTACGAGGATTGGATTTAGGACCCCTTGGCTGTCCTTAACTTGGAACATGTCTTGGTGTCTTTACTCTCGCCATGGGTTACATTGGTGGTGGCAGATTGTAATTAACTTGCTGGGATTCCAATAACATCTAAATGGGATTACAAACACAACTTTCTGGATTGTGAGGAAAACTAGGAATAGGATTACAATACTTGGAAGACTGAAAATATTTGGGATTACAATACCAACGCATGCAGATCCTCCTACTTTGGCCTCCTAAGTGCTGGAATTACAGGCATGTGCCACTATACCCAGTTTATTTTGACTTTTAACTAATTTTTAAAAACTTGATCTCAGTTTTAATTTCTAATACGTAAATAGATTGGTAGATAAAACCTACATAAACAATAGCTTTTGAAGTCTTTGTTTTTCAAGTCCTTACCTGAGAAACTAAACAGGTTGTGCCAGGTATAGTGGTACATGCCTGTAATCCCAGCACTAAGGAGGCTGAGACAGGAGGATCACTGTGGGTTTGAGGCCAGCCTGGGCTACATAGTGAGTTCAAGCCCAGCCTGAACTGCATAGTGAGACTTTGTCTCAAAAAGAAAGAAAGAAAACAAACAAACAGGTTGTGAAATCTGAGCTGAGCTGTTGTGTGCATACCTGTAATCTCAGCACTTAGATGGCTGAGGCAGAAAGATCTCAAGTTTGAGCCCAGCCTGGGTAATTTAGTGATTTAGCAAGAAGTTGTCTCAGCAAAAAAAAAAAAAAAAAAAAAAAAAAAAAGTCAAAAAGGGCTGCAAATGTAGTTCGGTACAAAGACCCTGGATTCAGTCCTTACTATTGAAAAAGTTATTGAAACGATACTAGAAAAAAAGACAAAATAGAAAATGAAAATGTTAGCAAGTGATTTTTTCCTTCCATTTACTATTTTCACAGACTTTTCTATGAAATCTAAAGTATTAAAAACAAAAGTATTACCTGTTCCTCTTGTTGATGTCTCTGGTTTCTGATGACGCGCTCACATCCCCCTTCCCTCTATAATTAAATAGCTCCCTGACACGATTGCATTTTGGAGACTCTCATTCTTATCATATTTGGATTCCTGGCTGGTGGACAAGAGAAGCATTTTGGAAACAATGACACCGATAGCCCCAGCTAGTAAAGTATCTTTTGTCCTGTGGGTTTAATTCCTTAAGTTTTAGAAAGTGTTAAGTCAGTGCCTCTTTAGGAAACAGTTGTGTAAACAGAAGATCTCACACTCCAAACAACAGAAAAGTAGAGTGTTTTGTATTTCAAAGTGAAATATCCTATTTGACGCTTTTCAAATAACTAGAAAATGCTCCTAACCACTTGGCATCTTTCATGGATCTATTTTTTCCATTTTTCAGAGTCCCCGGAAGACTGTGCGTCCAGCGATCTGCTGTATCACAGGGCTCCGTGGCGACATCATAGTAGGCCACGTTGGTGGCTGCTGGGTGTCACCAAACTGCGCTGGTCACAGCTGGAAAAAGGGCCTGGGGTCACCCGATCAAAATAAAGGCTCCTCCGAGAGAAAGTGCTGCCTATGTTAGCTTCATGTGAAAAGCAGGAAGCGAGGCGCCCTCAGGTCCTGATCCAATGTTTTAAATGAAGTTCGGTGGGGTGGCACTCCCACCTCCGGTGCAGCACATCCTGATGGCAGACCCTGTCCCCTTGAGCCTTTGTCTCTTCTTGTGTTCTCTGCAGCATGGACAGCCTTTCTGGTCTGGGCGCCGTGGGCAGGTTCAGAGTGAGTGCATGTTTAGGGGTTCAGGAGGCTTGGGGCTGCGTTCTCTCGTTTGGTCCCATGCGCTGTATTAGGAAAGCACGGAGCCCCAAATACGGATATGCCCTTTGCACTGCCAGCTTGTGCCTGGGTATCCTCGCCCACGCCAGTGTCAGAGCTGAGAATGCAGCTCACGGGAGGGGACCAGGATGGCACACACGCGGCTTCCTCCCAGCCTGGAGCAGAGCGACAGACAGAGCCGGGCAGCTGCTCGCCACCGGCTGCTCCTGGCCCTGGCGGCAGCTGCTTCCTCGCTTCCTCCCCTCCCCTCCCCTCCTCTCTCCTTCCCTCCCCTCCCCTCCCCTCCCCTCCCCTCCCCTCCCCCTTCCTCCCCTCCCCTTCCTCCCCTCCCCTCCCCTCCTCTCTCCTTCCCTCCCCTCCCCTCCCCTCCCCTCCCCTCCCCCTTCCTCCCCTACCCCCTTCCTCCCCTCCCCTTCCCTCCCCTCCCCTCCCCTCCTCTCTCCTTCCCTCCCCTCCCCTCCCCTCCCCCTTCCTCCCTTACCCCCCTCCTCCCCTCCACACCCCTTCCTCCTCTCCCCCTTCCTCCCCTCCTCTCCCCCCTTCCTCCCCTCCCCTTCCTCCCCTCCCCTCCCCTTCCTCCTCTCCCCCCTTCCTCCCCTTCCTCCCCTCCCCTCCCCTTCCCTTCCTCCTCTCCCCCCTTCCTCCCCTCCCCTTCCTCCCCTCCCCTCTCCACCCCTTCCTCCTCTCCCCCCTTCCTCCCCTCCCCTCCCCTTCCTCCTCTCCCCCCTTCCTCCCCTCCCCTTCCTCCCCTCCCCTCTCCACCCCTTCCTCCTCTCCCCCCTTCCTCCCCTTCCTCCCCTCCCCTCCCCTTCCTCCTCTCCCCCCTTCCTCCCCTTCCTCCCCTCCCCTCCCCTTCCTCCTCTCCCCCCTTCCTCCCCTCCCCTTCCTCCCCTCCCCTCTCCACCTCTTCCTCCCCTCCCCCCTTCCTCCCCTCCCCTCCCCCCTTCCTCCCCTCCTCTCCCCCTTCCTCCCCTCCCCCCTTCCTCCCCTCCCCACCCCTTCCTCCCCTCCCCCTTCCTCCCCTCCCCTTCCCCCCCTCCCCTCTTCCCCTCCCCCACCAGTTATCTTTTGCCCAGCGCCTGAACTCTAATCTCCCCCCTTGTCCCTGTTGATAAGCAGAACCCGTTACGGTGCACAGCTCTTTACCAGAAACACTAATGTTCGCTTCTGTGTTGGTTCTACTCTCTGGCTGGCTTTCTACCTCAATAGCTTGTAAAACTACAACTGAATGCATGCATGTTTTTCCCCTCAAGTACGGTGAGCACCTCAGCTGGGAAATCACAAGTTGAACAAGAAAGGCTGGACTCAAACCACAAGCCTTGCAGGAATCTGAGCGCTTTAAAAACAAAAGTCTCAAATGCGGCAAGGGCGGGCTTTTCGCGCCTGGCTCTCTCTGCCTTGGCGGCTTCTGCATCGCTTTTCCCTCCTTAGCTCTGTAGCTCTGCTCGGGGACATCAGGGTCACGACTGCCGGATTCCAAGGCAGGTGCTTGTGCCACTGAGCTAAATCCCCAGCCCCTAGACTCTGTTTTTAAGACTTTTGCATCATTCTGAACTAACATTGCGCATGAAAAACTCATCTAGAAATCTATCATTTGTTTATTAGATTTGTTGGCCGAGTGTGGAGGAGTATGCCTGTAATCCCTGTGCGCAAGAGGCTGAGGCAGCAGGGTTGCTGTGAGTTCAAGGCCAGTTTGAGCTACACAGTGACCTCTGTCTAAAAAATAAAATTGGTTGTGGCTTTTTGGCACTGACACAAACACATGTTAACTGGAAGTCATGTATTCAGTATTCCATTATGTAAATATTTGAGAGCTTTATTTGGAAAATATTTATCTTTCATTCCTTCGATTACAACTGGAATCATTCCTTAACCCTTTTATTACTTGAGCAAATATTGTTACATTATGTTCTCTAGCAGAGTATATATACTATTTTATCTAAAATAAGATATCTAGTTCTATAAAAATGGGCGATGCCCTGGTAGAGACCCTGCAGAGCCGGCTCAGCCCTCCACCCACACAGCGCCAGGAGACAGGGCCTGCAGAGGCAATCGCCAGACTCCGGCCCTGCGGAGGTCTCAGCCCGGCCCTCTCGGCCTCGGCCTCGTGATCCTGAACAGCTTCTGCCGTTTCTGAGCCACAACCGGTGGCGTTTCACTGTTACGTGGTGGGGGAGGGGACGGTGACGGCCGCACAGGCGCAGGAGACCCCCACTCAGCCCTGTGCAGGACACTGGCTGTGTCCTGTGCTCCTGTCACCTGACCCCCATCTCCACGCCCCTTGGGGGGGATATCACGCTGCTCTCCTTCCCAGGTCAGGAAACTGAGGCCCCACAGGAGAAGCTATTGCCGTGGGTCCCGCGGCAAAGACAAATAAGGAATAGACCCCCACCACCCCGTACCAGGAATCGAACTCACAATTTCACACTTGCCAGGCAGCTGCTTGTGCTGCTGAGCTGTATCCCTGGGCCAAAGGGACGGACTTGAGACCCAGTCTGAGGGACACAGGGCCCGGTGTCCACCAGGCAGGTGTCTCAGAGTGTTCCGATGACGTGCATTGCTGGATGCTAGGACCGTAGGCAGGAGCCCCCTTCTGCCCGTCCTGGGGCGCGGCCAGGAGGCCTCTGACTCACCCGAGAAGCACATGTGGATGGCACCTGAGAGCCAGGCCCTGGGAGGGCAGCTGCAGAGGGAAGGGACTCCTCAGAGGTCAGCCCACGGCCACCAGCCCTGTGCCATGCAGGACCAAGCACAGGGACAGCGCTGGACGTCAGGACAAGTCTCACCCTGGAAACGGCTCTGTCCTTAGCAACCTCCATGGCCGTGTGACCAGGGGCCCTGCTAATGAGCTGCTCTGCCATAGTTGCTCCAAAAGTCAGACTAAGACCAAATGTAAAGCAGGGTAACGGTGGCTTCTCTGTCTCACACCTTTCTGGCCTGAACTTGTCAGATGAGAACGGTCCAAGAGGGCTGTCATGCATTCGGTAGAGAGAGACGGGAGAGCACACTCCTGTGACTGTCTGTGGGGGGATCTGTACAGAAGGGCAGCACAGGGAGGGCTGCCTGGAGCTCAGCGTCACAAGAGAGTACATTCTGCAGGGCAAACGGGGCTGGAAAGGTCTTGTGCACTAAATAAGCTTCAGTTCACTGTCCTTCTGGACTTCATGGTCTAAGATGGCTGCCTCAGCTCCAGCTATCATTTCCATAGTCTGCACAGTAAACAGAGTAATAAGAAGGTGTTATACTAAGATGCTGAAAAATTAAAATGGTTAATTAACACATAGTTATTAACAAAAATAGTTAATTAAAAGGATAGTTATTAGCAGTATTGTCATTCTGTGCTGAGCTCTTTACCCTAGTAACCAAGCACCAACCACACAGTTATAGATTAACTGACTGTGTCCTCATGCTGTTCTGTATGTGTCCATTGCCCCTCACCTTAGTGACCTGTTTGCTGTGTCAACTTTTGTTCCCCTTGTAAGAGACAAATGACACTGTGTCAACCATTGTTCCCTTTATGAGAGATAAATGTTCCTGTAATTGGCAGACCAAGGGCTATGCATTGGCTAACCACCCACTGTGAAATGCCTCTGACCTCAAGCAAAGGGGAACAAAGGCCCACCTTATTTCTGTTTCTCATCGCTATGTACTTAATGATCAATGAGCTAATCATAAATGAACTATAAAAATCAGTCAATATTCTAACTCAGTTGCACAGCTTTGCAAATTCCATCTGCACTGTGTGGCTGGGCCAGCTAAAATAAAAGTGTTTGTTTTTAAAAAGACGTCGGCTTGCCCCGTTTTTCACCATGGGGCCTTGTTTTTTGGGGTGGGTTACAACAGAAGGTGCCCCTTCTTCTTCAGTCCTGTTCACTTAGAGTGGTCTGAGGGACACCTGGGGCTATTTTATGGGCAGTTAGCCACATGTCTGGGGCTCTGGGGAGAGGTCTAAGGTAGAGATTTAGTCTCTCTTTTTGGTAGCAGGAATTGAATTCAGGACCTTGTATGTGCCAGGGACGCTGAACTACATTCCCAGCCCTGGAGTTTAGACCTGGCAGCTCTGGGCATGGCTGGCTTCCCCAAGGGAAACAGGAATGTTAAGGACAGAACTCCACTGTATCTTAAACCAACAGTGGGCAGCAGAGACGGAGGAGAGAAGCAAGGAGTGCAGAGCCTCAAGGAGAAACTTGGCCCACAAATAAAAAAGGAGGCTTCTCGGGAGCCATGTTAGGGAAAACGGCAGGCCGGGAAGCTTCAGGAAACCACCTCTTCCTGCCAGGCATGAGGCTGAAGCAGGAAGATCTCTGTGAGTTTAGGGGCGACCTGGGCTACACAGGGAGATTAAGGCCCACCTGAAACACAGAGACCCTATGGCAAAAAACAAGAAACTAACAAGCAATCCGCTCTCTCACTCAAATGACCATGAGGCCAGAGAGAGTGACTACTTTGTTGGTTCGTTCTGATTTCTGGAATCTAATATTAAAAACATGCAGCAAGTAAGGGAGCACTTGGGGAAGGAGAGACCCCTAAGCCTCAGCCAGGGGTCGCATCTCATCCGGCCGCTGTCCCCCTGTCCCAGCGCTGCCCGTTACTTGGTGGCAGCAGGGTTGATGACTGGTTCTTGCCGGGGCTTCCTCAGCCCAGGGCATGCAGTGTGGACCTTGTCCTCAAATCCCTGTGATGTGCTTTTCTGTTTTTGATGCTGGGGGTCAGACCCAGGGCCTTCGTGTGCCAGGTGAGTTCAAGCTCTGTGTGTGTGCATTGCTGACCTTCTCGGGCCAGCCTTGAACTCTCGAACTCTTGAACTCCTGCCTTGGCCATGCTTGGCTTCTCTCTCTCTCTCTCTCTCTCTCTCTGTTTGTTTTTTAGTGTCAAGAGCACAGAGACATACACTGCCCACAGCTGTCTGAGGCACGCCATGCCAGGTGGCTCAGCGTCAGACAGTGAATCACCCCAGAAGGAGGCTGTGGGGGGGCAGGCGCTGAGGGCTCTGGAGGGAAATCCGGACACTCATGCCCGAGAACAGACCCACACGCGCTCTGGCTGGTCTGGGCTCCCCTTGGGAGGTGGTGTCTGGGAGGGAGGAGGAGTCTGAGGAAGCACGGACGGGTGCCCGAGTTCAGGGCCCACATGCGACAGCAGCCGAGTCGTGTTGTGTGTTCAGTAAGGTGTCTTCAGAGGTCTGAGGACATCAGTGCCACCTCAGAGACCGACCACAGAGACACGGGGCGGAGACCTCAGGGTCTGTACCCGGTAAGGAATGCGGGCTGCAAAAACAGAGTGGAAATGACACTGACAAACTCATGACTGAGCCCTTCTCAAGGTCCACCAAGAAATTAAACAGAAAGGGAACAGCTCTGAGCTGCTTTTACTCACACTTCTGCCTTCTGTCCCACCCTGAAAAGCAGTTTTCTGATTCTTGGGACGTCCCCTGGTGTCTTTCACGTCACCTCACCTCCAGTGCTATAACCTGGCGTCAGCCCCAGATGCTGTGCGCCCAAAGCCTCCCAAGGCCGTCCCCATGGCACAGCCGCCACAAGCCCAGGGCTGCCTGCACTTCTGGACTCAGGGACCCTGAGGACCCCCGCGCTAGGCCTGCTCCTATGCTAATGACCAGCGGAACTCAAGGAAGCACATTGCCGGCCATTTCCCATTCATTGCAAAGGATACAAGGATGAGCCAAGCAGAAGAGACACACAGGGCCAGGTGGGGTGACCTTTCTGGGCTCACCACCCTCCTGACAGCCCGATGTGTTCCACTCAGAAGCTTCCTGAACTGGCCGTTTGGGGCATGCAGTGCTGTCAGGAGGGTTTTATTCAAAGGCACAATTGGTTAAGTCATTGCCACTGGTGATTTACGGACTGCCTGGTTGGTCAAGCTGAGGGACTAAAAGTTTCAACGATGTCATCATTGGCCTTTGGGACCATCAGCCCCTGTTCTGAAACTACGTAGAGGTCCCCAGCCACAAGATGACACTCAGTTGAAAAACGAGCAGAAGGCTTTATAATGGACATTCTTCAAATTGCCAAATGCTCAAATAATTAGTTATTATGGGCTGCAAACCAAAACCATGTGCACTTGGATGGGTGTAATAATAAAAACAGAAAATAGTGTCGGTGAGGATGTAGAGAGCATGGAATCTTCACACCTTGGTGTGAATGCAGACTGGTTCGGCCCCTGTGGAAACTCTTCAGTGGCTCAGAAAGTTGCACACTGTATATTCGTGTGATCCGGCAATTCAACTTCTAGGTCTGAACCCCTCAAAAATGAAAACAAGTGCTCAAAAACATGTTCATGCATATTCAGAGTAGCCGAAGGTCAGAAAGAGCCCAGAGTCCATGGAAGGATGAAGGGATGAGCATATTGTGGTGCGTGCAGGCAGTGGAATATTATTCAGTCACAAGAAGGAAATGGAGTCAGGTGCGTGCTGCAGAGCAGACGAACCTTGAAAACACACTAGGCAAAGAAGCCAGACTCGAAGTGACACATATTGTATGCTTTCATTTATGTGAAATACCTAAAATCGTTAAATCCATGCAGCCAGCTGCAGAAAGGTGTTTAACATGGGCGCGGGGGGGGGGGGGAGTTCGTTGGGGAGAACCTTCTCACGGGCACCCCTGTCTTTTATTATTATAATTATTATTGTTTCGGGCGTGCTGGAAACGTTTTGGACTAGACAGAGGCGGTCAGTTGCCGCAGAACACTGTCACGCACTAAGTGGCACTGGAGTACGTACTGAAGAAGGGCTAACTGTACTGTACATTATATGAATTTCACCATAATTTTTAAAAAAGTGAAGTTACACAATGTTAAATCACTGACAACCTCAACTCACCCCACGGCCCTAAATCCCGAGATCCCAACCTCCTAGTTCAAGTGGCATTTTTTCGCGGAGCGCCTGGTGGCTCTGAAGCTCTCAGGGGACCCCCAGGGACATCCCCGGGGTCACTGAGGGTCCCAGAAAGCTGTACAACCTGCGGGGTGATGAGGACAGACCTGAAACCCCGAGCAGAGAGCGCACGGAAGCCAGCGCCCGCCCGCCCGTGGCGGAGGAGGTCACTGCTGTGTCCAGCGCCAGGTGGACGCTGTCGCCTGCGCCACACGAGGCTCCGCGCTGTCGCCTTCCGCGTCCGGGGCGCGCGCGCCCTGGCTCCCCCTGAGGGGCGGGGCGGGGCGGGGCAGGGGCGGGGCCTGCGCGGGCGCGGGCGCGGGCCGGCGTCCCTCGGCCGGGGGCGGCGCGGGGCAGGTGAGCGCGCGGGGCGCCGGGCCCGGGGCTGGGATGGAGCCTAGGTCTCGGCTCTGGCTGCGGCCTCCGAGTGGGGCGAGGGGCGCGGGGCGCGCGCCCGGGGCGACCCCGGCCCGGCGGGTGGGCGGGGCTCGGCGCAGGCCGGCGGTGGGGCCGCGCACGCGGTCTCGGGGGCGAGCGGAGCGCGCGGGCGCTGGCTGCCTGCGCGGTGCAGGAGGGAGGGGAGCGGGGCCTGCGGCCGGCCGGTGCTTGCCGCCAAGCTTGGCTCTTTTATCTGGGGTTTGCAGCTGTGCGTTTGAAGCTGAAGGAGCCCGAGAACAGACGCGGGGCTCCATTCTGCGTTTGACTGATGAAGAACCTGAGCCCGTAGAGCTAAAGTGGCATAGCCCAAGGTCGCCCAGGTAGGAGATTCCAAAGCAGGGGTAGAACCCATGGTCCTGGCCTCTGCTGTCCACATCTCAACCCTTCGCTTGCTAAATGAAATGACCTGGGCTGTGGCTTAATTTCCTGTTCAAGACATGAACCGGCGGTGTGGGGTAACTACATCTCCATTTGCCACTGCAGGAGCAGCCCATATGGGGCACCTGCCGACCAGTGTCAGGGAGGGACGAGGCTGGGCCCAGGCGGCCCCCTTGATAGACACCTGATCCCCCAGGCTGCCAGCCAAGCCTCTGGCAGTAATTAAAGGTTCTGCATAAGCTGCTGCAGGTGTGTGAGCGTCAGGTTTCCCCTGCCTACCTGCAGGAGCCTGACAAATTCATAGGAATGATGTGTGAGTGCTTGGAGCCTTGCTGCAAAAGAGGCCAGGGGTCCCGGCTTCAGGCTGGAGCTGGCCACCCATGATTGGTGTTGTCTTTCCGACAGGGGCACTGGGGGAAATGGCCCAGCAGATGGAGGTCGGTTCAGGCTTTGCAGGAAAATTGTTCTTTGGTGTTGCATCTAGCATCCACTTGTTTCCTGTTAATGTGAGAAAGATAGCAGGGGTCTGGCTAGAGGCGGCTGCCTGTTGGGCAGGAGCAGATGGGCAGCCCGTGTCCTTTCCCACAGTCCTCTCTGGCTGCTCCTGCCCCACTGTACCTTATCTCCCATGCCCTTTTACTAAGTTACTGACGTTAGTAACTGAATGTCATGCCTTGTTTGAGAATTTGGCCATGTACAGTAAAAAGCCACTTTGTATGTAGTTGTCACAGGAAGCTCAGTAATAATCATCATTCCTACCCTTTTGCAAAAGGGGAAACTGAGGCTTGCAGGCTTAAGCAGTTGTTCAGTTATGTGGCCTCAGTGCCTGTGAGTGCCGGGCTTTGAACAGAGCTGCCTGTGTTTGTGTTACCTTTTGAGTTTGCACACAGCCTTTCTGCACTCGGCTAAACGCAGGCCTCTGCCCTGCAGCTCAGAAAGTTTCTGTGACGTCTTCATGACCAACTTCCTGAGAAAACCAGAAGAAAGAAAAAAATGATCTTTTTTTTTTCCTCCTAAAGAAACCAAAGCTGTGCGTGTAGGTCACATGCTTGTTTCTAAGGAAAACATCTTGGGCTGTGTTTCAGCTGCTGCAGTTTGGGACACTGTTGAGTTGGTGACAGGCGATTAATGGTTTCTGCACAGGATCCCACCTGGCTCCCAGCTGCTGCCCCTGGGAGGGGGCTGGGGCCCTGGCAGCCCTTCCCCTCTGACACATAGGGCTTTAGGCCTTGTAGACCAAATGTTGGCTCCAGGCCTGGACATGTCACTGTCACATGAATGTCTGGGAAATGAACAATTTCAGGTCAGTCCTTAGGAAAGAGCGTGCTTTATTTGTTTGGTAGCCTCTACTGAGATGCTAGGCTGCAGTTCATCTTTTCTAAAAGTCTAGCAGAAGAAGAAAAATTTAAAGGGTGCCCGCTTTTCTGGTGTGCCTTAGCCAGAAACTTCTTTTTAAAAAATAAAAATAATGGATGTTTCTTCTCAAAATTTCAGGAAAAGGGGCGGGGGATATAGCTCAGCGGCACAAGTGCCTAATCTGGCAAGCACAAAGTCCTGAGTTCAATTCCCAGTACCAAAGAAAAAAACATTTTCAGGAAAATTGTAAAAAGTCATCCATGAGCCATGTGTCCAGAGATAATCACTGTTACTCATTTCCCCCGGGCTTTCCCCAGCCACATGTGTGTATCTGTCCCCAAAACAGGAATAAGAAAGCCATAGATGAAGCACCCTGGTTTTATTCCAGCAGCCCTAAGAGCTGCCCTGTCCGTGGGCGTGCTGATGTGGTGGTTTGGTCGGAGATGTCCCTGAAGGCCTCTCTGGAAAAGCATGTTCCATAGGGCCTCGCCCTAGGCAGGGAGTGGAAAGTTTTGAGAAGGCCTTGTGGGAGGGCTCTGGGCCATTGCGGGTGAGTGGTGCAGCTCAGCCCCTTCCTCTTTGTGTCTTTTGCTTTCATTTTCTGGCCCTGAGGTGAGCAATGTTGCTCAGCATGGCCCGCACCCTGCTGTTCATGCACAGCCACACATGGACGACCCTCCTCTGCACGCATGGCCACACAGACCTGCAGTACAAGGAGGGCAGGGTGGGCCTTGGCTGGGCTCATAGGCCAGGTGGGGGACAGGAGAGACTTCGCTAGCATGGACTGGGGCGTGATGGACACCCCTTGCAAACGGGACTGTGTGGTCCAGGATCCAGAGCCCTGGCTACTGCGAGCATGAGCCTCGTTGGCTGAGGGGGCAAGGATGGCTCCCTTGGGCAGTTTGAGACCTGAGGTGCCACAGAGCTTTTGGTCTTGGGACTGTCACAGTAAAGCCCTCTGGGGTGCATGGGTTTCATGACTATAAGATAGGGTTCTGACCAAATGGCCTTTCAGGTCTTTGCTCACTGTAATACTGTCTCATGAAAGTGCCCTGCCCCTTCTTGGGGTGGGACCGGCAGCCAGCTCCTGTGTCTGGGGGCTCAGCCAGCACCCGGTTTTCTAAGGGGGTGCCAGCAGCCTGCTAACCCCTCACTGTTAACCTCCATGTGTCGTACACCCCCCAGGGGTAGACACTGGACAGGGCACCTCTCGTGTCCACAGTCCTCTGGTCAGCCTTTCACAGAGGGTGAAATAAGCCCTGTTGGTTCCAGGCCGTGCAGCCAGGGAGTGTGTGGTCCAGGTCACACAGGTAGTGACTGTCACCCTACTAGTCTCCAAAGCCTCTACTTTTAACCCTTTCTCATTTCAAAGAAGAAAAACTCTGCATCTGTTCAAGGCTGGCTCCCTCCGCCACTTCCCCCCAAACCACCTTTTCCACAGGCTGCTTAAGGAAAGGAGAGAGGGTGACCCAGGTCCAGGCTTCTAAGTAGGAAGGAGCCATGGAGCTTAAGTTTAGGAGGCCCCGTACCTGGATCTCTGGGGCCTGTGGTCCAATGAAGTGGGTAATACCTGTGGGACTACCCAGCATTTGGGCATCACCTCCGGCTGAGGTCACCATCCAGCAAGTGGTGTGTGTAGGATAGAGGCTGAGGGGCGTGGACTGGCAGATGTCAGTGGGGGCTCAAGGGTGAGGGTTGGGTGGTGGTGGGGATGCTGTGGGATTTCTCAGGGTAACCACTGACCTTTGCAAGCCTTGCTCAGTGTAGAGGAAGACTGTAGGAGTCATGGCATTACTGGGGAGTCGCCATGACTGGCCACTGCATGTGGCCTGCTGGAAACCTGTGCACCCTCTGTGAAAGCTGGGGCGCATTGTTCAGTTCGCCTGGCACTGAGAAAGCAACCCGCTGTCCCAGCCCAGACCTTTCTCTGGAGATCCTAGTGTTATGGCAAGAGCAGCATTCCTGGTTTGCTTTTGGATCATCATTTCCCAGGAGGCACTGGGGTTTGCTTTTAAAATCCATTTCCTACCCAACTCTGCTGGCTTTCAGTGTTAAGATTAGACCTTGGCTTTACTCTTTTCTCTGCAATGAAAAGAAGGTTGAGGAAATGGGGTCACCAGGTCTCTGTGATAATTGCGGGAACTGCTGACGCTAGCCGGCTGGGGAACTTCTCCGGGTTGGGTCACAGTCCCTAGGGCCGGCCCACCAGCCTTTCCATCCCATTCAGCTATGTAGCTGGAGCAGCCAGCAGTTTCTCCGAGGCTGGCGCTTCCCAATCCAGGCCACCTTCAGCCACCTGTGTTGTTCTGCGAGTTTCCCTGCAGCACCCTTGGGAGGGGGTGAAGAAAGGAGAGCTGCTGGCGCCAGGAGAGGGTTTGACATCAGCACTGGAGAGGCGCCCGGCCCCGCCCACCCCACCTGCCTGCTTGGGGCTCCAGCGGGAGTTCTTTGCGTCACCGGCCTTGGGATGTGGACACGCATCCAGCAGGGTTGTTTATCTGGGCATTCGGCTGGTGATTTCTCCCTGCAAGGATTTCAGCGCCATCAGGCGACTGAGAAGCCTTGCAGAGCCTGCTCTTAGGAATTTACAAGAGAGAAGGACCTACCCCAGCGCCCTTTGGGAGCCTGGTAAATGACCGGGGCTGGGGAGAAAATGTCAGTGGCTGCGCGGAATACCATCTGTAGCTCCGTGCAACCAGGGGATTCAGGGAGAAAAGGTCAGGGGTAGAAGAAAACCAAGAGTTGATGTTCAGTTTTCCCCTTTAAGAATTAGTAGCTTTAAAAAAACCCTGAACATGTAATCTGCCTTTATTATAAAAATGGTAGTGTTAAATACAAAGTAAAAGTCATCTACAATCCTGCCATCCGGAGACAACCACTGTTAATATTTTGTAACAGTTCTTGTCCTTCTTTTGGGTGCATACATCTTAAAAGAAAACTCAGACTACGATGTGAAGCTTTATGAAGCTTTATATTCTGTTAAACTTAACATCATGCCTTTTTAAAAAATCCTGTTAAATTCTGTTTGAAATAAGATTTTTCGTGGGCCCCATCTGATGGAGGTATGGAGGCCCGTGGATGCCTGGACCCGTGGATAACATAAACCCCGTGTGTCCATGTCTGCAGTGGGTAGTGGTACCTAGGAGTACAATAGAGCCGTTACAGCCACATACTATAACAGGGGCTATTTTATTACAGTGTGCTTTCTGGAATTTTCCATTCAATACTTTAGGTCTACAGTTGACCACAGGTGACCAAAACAGCAGCGAGGGAGCCTGAAAAGAAGCACAGATTCGGGTCTCATCCTGTAGAGTCCGACAGTTCAGTTGTTTTCACTTTTTTTTCCTCACAGTCATTCAGGAATGGCAACACATTTTGACGTGACTCTTTTATTCCTGGGTGGAGGATCAGAAGGGGTGATTGTATTCGCAGGTTTTAATTTTCTTGCTTTGAGTCAGGTCTGTCCAACCCTTCATCACAGCAGGTGTTGTTTGGGGACTTGTTCAGCCTGAGGGCTTTACTGTGTCCAATCCTGACCTCTTCTTGCTCCCCACCTGTCATCTGAGCAGACCCTGTACCCAGGGGAGAGGCCCATTCATCCTGCCCCTCCCCCTGCAGCAGCCTGGCAGGCCGTGGAGACGTCTGGTCTGAGTGCAGGGGTGCAGTCTGCTGGCGCTGCGTGGCACAATCCCCCGGGGCTTCATCAGAGTCCCCATTAGAGTGGAGCTCAGGGAGCTGTGTTTTTAATACACAACCTAGGGTAGTGTTAAAGAGCCTGGAAAAGGATTGTCTAGGCCTGAGTGGAACCTTGAATTGGTTACTTTTTATTTTTTGCAGCACTGGGGATGGAACCCTTATGCCCAAAGCCCAGCACCACCACCTCCCCCCAGGACAGCCTGGTCCCTTAGCAAACCTATTTCCTCATGGGTAAAACCGGGGAGAACAGTTGCAGAAGTTCCTGGGTTCAGTGCTGGCTCGGGGCTTAGCAGGTGGTGCCCACCATTGCCCCTTGCTGCCCTGAATCCACTGGGTAATGGTGCCCCTGAGAGACCTTGTGTTTCCCATTGCTGAGTTGGTTCTGGGAACTCTGCGAGGGTCCTCTGACCTGTGACCCCACACACAGCAGGCTGCTGGACTGTGACCACGTGGTGCCCTCGCCCTGCCAGCCAAGACCAGCTGCACCTCCTGGGCCCCCTGAGCCGCAGCCCGTCTCCCCTGCCTGCCCCTGTGCTTGGAGCCCAGCTCAGAATAGGCTTTCTGGGTTTTCAGAAGTGGGAAGAAGGGGCGTCTCCCCAGGCAGTGTGTGGTTTCTGGTGAGGAGGCCATTTGAATGGGTTGTGCTTTGTGGGTTACAGGGCACGTTTGTAGGATTTGTAGTGTCCTTCTCTAAAGGCCTGTCAGATCTCGAGACTAGACTTGTATGATGGGTCAGTGAGGGCGAACGACAGTGGTCACCAGGTGTCCATTACTGCGTCACATGGAAGGAACATGCTCTTCCTTTAAGCTTACCCTTCACGGACATTAGGGAAACTGAGGCAGCAGTGCTTTCTGGGAAGCATCTCTTGCTCTTGCTGCTGAATGGTGAAGTGGGTGCCCTGCAGTTCTGTGTCCACTGCTCTGTTAGGCCCTTTTTTGGAAGCAGCCTCACTCTGTGTTCCCCCATTTCTCTTGGAGTTTGCTCTGTGGGAGTCTGGAAGGGGGCCTCTGATGGAACCCTGCCACCTCTCAGGGTTGGAAGGGGGAACTTGGCCTGCCCTGGGGGTGGGGGCTGCAGTCTGTGATGTTGGGGTCCAAGGACTCCCAGATCAGCTGCACCCTTCCAGGGACCATGGAGATGGATCGCAGGCACCCAGAGATGGGAGAAGCCCTGGAGGAGGCGATGGGGGCTGATGAACTCGGAGTCAGCAGCTCTGAAGCAGTGGGGCCTGTCCGAGCTCCTCCAAGTGGAGCAGAGCACCGGCTTGGGAGCACTGCTGCCCCTTTTATTTTGTGGTGCTGGGGAGCAGCACCGCCCACAGCCTTCCTTGAGGGTGTGATGTGTGAGGTTGGGCCTCCTGGAGGGAAGGAGGCCTTGACCTTTCCTCTCCTGGACCCAATTGGCTGGCTTTTGCCAAGAGGAAGGAGCTAAAGCTAGAGCTTCCCAGGTCTCATGAAGGCCATGTCCCCTTGCACTGGGCTCCTGTGGCCCTGGGCTGAGCCTGGTCTTGAGAAGTCCAAGCAAACGGATGAGGGCACCCACTCTTGCCTGTCACCCCACTGTAATACAGTGCACTTCTGTCCACAGCCTCCTGTAGGACACCTGGGCTGCCCCCTCTGCTAGACCAAGCTCCTACTTCTCATGAGGCCCCAGCCCCTCCGTGGATGCTTCACCCCACCAGGCTCCTCCCTTCCTCCACGTCAGGTTGCTGGACATTATCAGGATGGGCTCTTGTGTCCCCATAGTGTGCATTCACCTAGGTGATTACCTCTTTCCAGGATGACCCACCTCCTGCCACCCCTGGCTGGTAAATGTTCCTAACCTCTGAGGCCACTTCCTGTCCTTGAGCCTGAGCTTCCAGCCCTCCTGGCTGGCACACTCTCTGCTCTAAGCTCCAGCAGGTGCCTGGTCCCTTGCACCTCTTCCTGGCGCCTGTCTGACTTTGCCCACTGCGGTTCTTACTCTTGTCTGCAGCCTCAGGAGGAAGGTTTACAAGCTGGGGGACTTACTCCCTTGGAAGTCCCTGGAGATAGCGGGGGTGCATTTTACTTTGGGGTGGTGGCTTTCACTGCAGGATGGAGCTACTAAAGTCCCTAGGAATAACTCGGGGCAGCTAAGGTTTGAGAAGAGTGGCAGCCACTGGCCCCACCAGGGAGCAAAGCTGGCTGTGTTAGTGGAAGAATCCCGCTTGTCTTGTTTACAGACCAGGTAACTCCCAGGAACGCTGTCCCTGGAGACAGACTTGGCACAGACCTGCTAGTGTGACTCAGCCAGAAGCCCACGGGATCTTATCACGAGCTCAGGGGCTGTCCCAGGATGTGATGGGGACTGGCATATCCCTCTCAGCTTGTGAGAAGTCCTCCCAGCCTTGAAACTGGCTGCGTGTATAGACTTGGGGCGACCAGTTTACACAGGGTGCTGTTGTGCTGGAAGCCCACGTGGAACCCCTCCGCGGTCTTGACAGCCATCGCTCGCTCCTCTGGTTCCTTCTGCACGGGGCCTGCACTTCCTGTTCACACTCGCTGCTGCTGAAGGGGCTCATTTACCACCACCTCCTCCCCTGCCAGGCGTTGACTGCTGCTGCTGAGCTTTGGGCTCCCCGCTCCCTTCACTCAGATCCCAGCCCAGGGTCCTCCTGGACAGCGTCCCCTGTCACCCACAGACATTTCGGCAGATTCCTGGGTCACAGTCACAGTCTTTCCCCAGAAATTCCCATGGCCATCCCCCCATCTAGCAAGGCTGCTGTCCTCAGTGCCGTATGGACCCACCTCAGGTTCCCAGCTGTGGCCAGAATGACCCTTGTAAGCACAGATCTGTCTCGATTGCCCTTGAGATGGGATGGGCCACCTTGAGTCGTGCCTGGGGCCCTTGACCCCTCCACAGACCTCACCCACCCTCCAGCCTCTGCTCTGTGCCCAGCTTCGGCAGATACTCCAGAAAACAGCCCACTCCCCGAGACTGTGTTTGTGTGCCTCTTGAACACCTGGGTTACACTGACCGTGCAATAGCCCTGACTTCTCTGGGTGGGTGGCACGAGTCTCAGGCTGCCGCAGCCTCATGGTGGCTGGCAGGGACTCCTGCTTTACAGTAGTCTTTGGATGCCTGGGTCTCAGAAGCTTGTTGGGGCAGGACCTGTGTCTGGGGCTTCACGCTGTCTGCAGTCCCCACCACAGCCTCCCATCCAGTGGTGCAAGGTCCCTGTGCTTTCCAGGTCCGCCCCTTCCCGAGCAGGGTCATGCTCACCTTCATGGCCTCTGACAGCGAGGAGGAAGCATGCGACGAGCGGACGTCCCTGATGTTGGCCGAGAGCCCCTCGCCACGCTCCTGCCAGGAGGGCCGGCTGGGCGAGGAGGACGGGGACAGTGCTGCTCAGTGGGTAAGTGGTACCCCTGGTCGGGCCTGGAGGTCGTGGGCCTCTGTGCTGAGGAAGGTTCAAGTCTGGATCTCCCGTGTCCCTCATACGGTCCCTACCAGGGTGCTGGAAGCTTTATGGGATCGGTCTAGAGGGGTCTTCAGGGGCCTGGGGATCCTTTCCTCTAGGCTCCTTCACAGTCTGTCTGTGAGGTGAGCAGCCATGCAGTCCTGCTGAGATGCTTTAGTCCTGGGGCAGGAGGGCCAATCGGTCCTGAAGTGGCCCCTCCAAAGCTGGAAGCCTGCAGCAAGCCCTTTGTCTTTCCGAGTTGCTTTAGCTCAGGTATTTGCTTCCTGAGGGGAAGCTAATGCCAGGATGGAGCCAGGCCATCTCTGACCTGGGAGGAAGAGGGGCTCAGCAAAGGGCTTTCTGAGTAGACTGCGCATTTGACCCCAGATCTGACCCCAGATGCGCTCTGCAGTGAGCCCGCCCCTCAGGTGTGTACCATTCTAGAGCCCGCCCCTCAGGTGTGTACCATTCTAGTGCCAGTCACAGTTTCCATGGTAACACGAGGGCATGTGGTGGATGCCTGGATGCTGGGACAGGCAACGTGGACACTTCAGGGTGGTAGGAAGAAAAGCTTCCAGGAGGAAAAGGCATCTGGGTGACTGGACAAATGCATGTGACACGGGCTGCACTGTCACTGTCCCCTGGTGGTGCCCCGGGGGAGGAGAGTCCCTCAGCTGTGCCATCTCTCTCCCCATCAGTCAGAGCAGCATCTGAATCTGCCTGCACCCGACTGTTGCAGTAGTTAGAAACCTCTCTTCATGGATGGCCTCTTCGCCAGCCTTCCTCTTCTTTGCTGAAATCTGAGCTCATTTCTCCTGGAGCCTGTTGTCCTCTGAGCTCCCAGTAAAACTCCCCAGTTCAAGGTCATCACCCCGATGTTTCTCCGTCCTGTCTTATCTCCCGGAGTGCTTGTGCTTTTTGTTATTTTGGTTCCTGTCCATTAACTTCCTCACCTGACCTCCTAGACTGGAACATCTCTGCGAAGAGTAGATACTGAAGCCGTGTTTTTTTAAAGCTGTGTTTCATTTGGCGCCTCCTTGGGCTGTGACCCTAATAAGACAGCTAATGACCCCCAGTTGCCACTGTTCCAAAGCCAGGCTTTGCAGCACAGCTGCTGCCCCTCGCCCCTTGCGCTGTTCCACCTGCCCAGAGCCGGGTCTTTCCGATGCTTGGTATGGACTCAGCCTTGAGTTCCGAGCTACAGATTTACTCACCTGATTTCAGGAGGCGGGATTTCTGCTACTGCTAGCTGCCGTGTCCTGTTTGCTGCTGGGAGTCCCGTGGGTGACCGTTCTGCTTAGGTTGTCAGCTGAAGATTCGATCTATTTTTCTCCTAGCACTGACCCAGCTCTTCTCCCTGCTCTGGAAGCTGTAGAGCCCTGTGCCCCTGCTCTTAGGAAGGAGAAAGGTCACTTCTGTCCTTCAGGTTCTTTAGCGCTGTGCGCTGGAGGTGCGCCCAGCCTTCTCTGTTTCTACGCTTGGTCCAATTCTGCATCTTCCCTCCTGCACTTTTCTTAGGCCCTAAAATCCCAGTGTCCTCGGTCTACGCTACTGGTTCTTAGCTCTAGAAAGCAGCACTCCCCAGATCCCTGAGCAGCACCCATGGATTGTTAGGTGGGTGCCCTGAACCCCTCACCACATGGTTTCTCCCAGAGGGGCCAGGAGAGTGAGGAGGACTGTGAAGACGACCCTGACCACTACATCTGTGGTGGGGTTCCCGGGCGGCCGGCAGGCCTGGAGGAGGAGCTGACACTGAAGTATGGGGCGAAGCACGTGATCATGCTGTTCGTGCCCGTCACGCTGTGCATGGTCGTGGTGGTGGCCACCATCAAGTCTGTGCGCTTCTACACGGAGAAGAACGGTCAGCTGTGAGTCGGGGTCTGGACCAACTGGCAGGGACCAGGCGGATGGGCTTGGGGTGGGGGCAGCTTCAGCCATAGCATCTGCACCCACTGCTCCCTGGCAGGGACAGAGGGAAGCCCAGGTTCGCACAGGCCCTCTGCCTGCTGGCTGTGCACTCGCCTGGCAGCTTCCCATCAGTCCCAGTGGTCAGAGCGAGGTGCTTGCACATGGCTTCCTGAGCTTATGAGGGCTCCACTGGGCTAGGGGCCGATGGAGAAGAGTGTGTGGGGTGTTGCAGGGCCTGGAGCTGACAGTGGGCAGGGCAGAAAGGGCTTCCACTGGGTGAGTTCACCTGGCCTGCACCCCACTGCTGTGCAAGCACCAGGCATGGCCGGAAGCCTGGGACCAGGGCCCAGCTAGTGCCAGGGTGGTGCGGGCCCCGGGCGGGGGGTGGGGGCTCCAGGATGGGTCTGAGGGTCACTTGGGGAATGGTGTTCCGCAGCCACAGGCACCCTGACCCCTGTCCCCCCGTCCCCCCACCTGCTCAGTATCTACACGCCGTTCACTGAGGACACGCCCTCCGTGGGCCAGCGGCTGCTCAACTCTGTGCTGAACACGCTCATCATGATCAGCGTCATTGTGGTCATGACCATCTTCCTGGTGGTGCTGTACAAGTACCGCTGCTACAAGGTGCAGCCCTCACCCTCCCTGTCTGTCCCTCCCCTCACGGCCCTCGGCTGGCTCCTGCCTGGAAGCAGCCACTTCAGGAAAACAATGAGGGGGGGTTCTTTTTCTGCAAAATAGGCTGATTTGCCTTTGGCTGCCCCACCTGGAACCACCTGACCCCAGGTCCTGACCTAGGAAGAAGTTGACGTAATTTTGCTTCGTCTGAGTTTCTGGGTCAGGCTCCCTTTGCCCTGGTACCTCCCCTCCATGTTTATTTTTGTTTCCCTTCCCTGCTGGACAGGGCTGTTCAGGCACTGTAGCGAGATCCCCTCGGCCTGGGAGTGTTTGGGTCAGACTCACCCCCAGCTGCCGGGTGCCCCAGGAAGCAGTGGAGGAGATAAGCCTGAGTCGGGGGCATCATTTGTCTCCAAAGATGCTCTCTCAACTTGCCCATGGGCTGTGGGCTGAAGGCTTTGAAACCCTGAGGTGAAGCTAGGTGCCACCTGCTGGAGACTGCACAGAGCATGGTGCAGGGCCATTCATTGGGCAGCTGCGGTGTAGCAGGGAGATGAGAGAAGTGGGTGCAGGGAGGGCTGGGCCTGGCTCCTTTGAAGCTGAGGGTTCATACTTGCAGACAGCTGGAAATAGCAGGGGGAGGGTGGGAGCAGCCCTGCTCTAGTGGGCAGGTGTCAGCTGGCTGGCCCATCACTCAGTAAAGTTCCCAGCGAATCTGTGACACACAGGTGGGGCCTGACAGTGGCCCAGGGGAGGACAGTCTGGGTGCCACGGAGCCCCTTCCTTCTCACTGTTCCTGCTGCCCAGCATCAGTGGCTGCTTTCACTGCAGGGACCAGGTCACTACTGACGCCTCCCTGGCTGAGCTGGGGACTGGTGGGCCCATCTCCAGAGAGGACAGCACCTGCCCCGGGTGCTGGTTCAGAAGCAGCCCTCCCTCGACCTTGACTGGTGCATACTTGGCTGGGGAGGAGGGACAGATCTTTCTGAGGACCCTTTGTAGACCCGCAGGTAGGCGGGAACTTCCTGAGAGGTCTTGGATGAGATATAGCACCCCCCCATCCTTTCACCCCAGTGATTTCTCCTGGCAGCATATGCTTTGTAGGTCTCACCACCACTGGTGGTACACTGTCCACTCCTCTTCTCCTGGAATGTGCCCCAGGCAGACCCTCAGCCTCTGCTGGCACTGGTGTTGACACTGGTGCTGCTGTGCTGGCCAGTGGAGCCTCCTGGACCTTCCTGAGTGAATGAGAGGCAAGGTGGGGTGAGCCAGGTCAGCAGCCCTGCAGGGTCCTGAGGGCACTTTGAGACCTTGACAGGGGCCGGAGGAAAGAGGCCTCGGATATCTGAGTCCCTGTATCTGTAAGTGGCCTCCAGTGCCACCTCCTGTGGTCAGGAGTAAGACCTGTAGGCTCCAGCCGCAGGCCCGGGGGCCTTGGGCCTCGTGACCTCCTCCTCCGTCTCCGTCTGTTGTGCAGTTCATCCACGGCTGGCTCATTATGTCCTCCCTCATGTTGCTGTTCCTGTTCACCTACATCTACCTCGGGTAAGTGGTGCCCGTGAGCACTTGGGTAAGGAGGCCCCGGGGACCCCACTCCTGCAAGAGGCCACAAAGGATCTTGGTGGGGAAGGGCGGCCATTGAGTTCAGTGTCAGCTGCATCTGCAGCCCAGGCCTCCCGGTCCATCTCTTGGGCCTTGACCCGGGGCCGGGAGCTCCACAGCAGGTCGAATGTCTGTCCTGGTCCCTGATATAAAACCGTCAGTGCCTCTGTGGAAGGTAGTATCTGTGAACACCAGTGGGGGTGGAACCCACTCATGCTTTATGTTTCATTCTTGTACTAGGTCTGGAGACATCCTGGCTTGTGGGGAAAACGTACTGCCCTGTTGCCTTTTGATTTGGGATCTCACCCTGGGCCAGGGGCCAGGGGCTAGGGGAGGCTGGAGGGACAGGAAGAAACGGCTGCCGGGACTTTTTCCAGAGGCAGAGGGTCCTGTGAACATCCCAAGTGTGTAGCCATGATGGCATCACAGGCCCATGAAAAGAGGCCCCAGGGAGAGCCTGGAAAATTTAGTTCGGGAGCAGAGGCTGTAAAGCAGTTTGGGCTGGGATATCCCCGCTCATCTCCCACCCACCCACAACTCCACCTTGACCTGCAGGGAAGTGCTCAAGACCTACAACGTGGCCATGGATTACCCCACGCTCTTCCTGACCGTGTGGAACTTCGGGGCGGTGGGCATGGTGTGCATCCACTGGAAGGGGCCGCTGGTGCTGCAACAGGCCTACCTCATCATGATCAGTGCCCTCATGGCCCTGGTGTTCATCAAGTACCTCCCAGAGTGGTCTGCGTGGGTCATCCTGGGCGCCATCTCCGTCTATGGTAGGCCGAGGTGGGGGTGGTGTCTAGTGCTGGGTCACGGTCACTGCCACCCGAGATGCCCCAGGGTGGGAGGTCCCCTTTATAAAACAGGTCCCTCCAGCTCCAAGGTGTAGAAGGAAACCCAGTGGTCAGACGCCCCTTATTATGCATTGGCTGTTGTCTTGTTCCTGAGCATGCGTACTGTGTGTTACTCAGAGCAGCCCCAAGTGCCTGGTCTGATGCCTGTAAGGAACCCAGAATGCTCCTGCCTTTTACCTGCCATTCGCATGGTTACCGTTGGTACTGCCACTCCTGTTTGAGGACAAAGACTTGGGGCTCCTCTGGGTCTCAGTACTTCCTGTTGGCAGGTACCTCGGGCCCTGCTCTGGGCTCAAGCCAGTGCAGCCATGGATGGTGGCTGCAAATGGGTCAGGAGGCTAGCCCAGAGGCCAGGCACATTCAAAGAGCCCCAGTCGGGTTCCCAGAAGTAGCAGCTTGGACCTCCCTGCATGGGCACTGCTTGGGAACAGATAACACCACAAAGATCCCTGTGTTTGCCCAGATCTTGTGGCGGTGTTGTGCCCCAAAGGGCCACTGAGAATGCTGGTGGAGACTGCCCAGGAGAGGAATGAGCCCATCTTTCCTGCACTGATTTACTCATGTGAGTGGCCTGCGCCTCTGCCTGAGGGGCCTGTGGTGGGGACCAGGGCCGGTGGTAGCTCCAGAGCTACCAGGAGGTGGTGACACTTTCCCTGGCCAAAGGAAGAGCCAGCCTGGTGCCCCCAGGGGATGTCCACCCCCACCGTACCTCACACCCCTGCACCCATGGAGAGCTGTATCCAGCTGTGATGTAGAGGGCGCTGGCATGTCAGAGGAGTGGCAGCATGTGGGGTGCATGGGGCAGCCCCGTGACTGTCCCCCGCCTGTCCACTGGCTGCAGTGTTACAGACCCCATTCCCCAAGGTCCTTGGCCACTGCTCCACTGTCTGGGCTCTTCAGGGCCACCTTGGAAAGGGACTTTGCAGGGCCAGACTGTTTTCTGACTCTGAGCCTGGCAGATTTCAGCTGAGTGTCACGCAGGGGAGCCTGCAGCTCCACAGTTCCCCTGTTCTAGAAGAGCAGCAGGTCAGGGTTGGGTGGACATCCCTCAGACAGTGTGGATGACAGGGACTCATCACACATCCATGTCCACAGCAGCCAGGAGGTGGACGCAGCCCAGTGGGCGTCAGTGGTGACATAGTGTGGTTAACTCGGGCCAGGAAGCATTCAGCCCTGGGGAAGAAGGAAGCTCTTTTATGGGTAGTATTTTAAAAATTGAGTCATTTGTACACCTTCCTCAGGTACATTATGTACATTCAATACATACTTAAAACATGTTGTGACCCCATCAGGGCAATACGCATTTCCATTTCTTCAAGCTCAGTTATTTGTTGAGAACTTCATACATTTTTGGTCACCCTGAAATCCAGCCAGGCCGTCCTCGCTGTGGTGGCCCCGCTGTGCTGAAGAGGACCGGGAGGAGCTCCTCGAACTTGTTCTCCAGTGCATCCCCTTCCCTGCCCTGTCCCGTCTCCTATGGTCGCTGTTTCATTCTTTTTCAAGAGACTGATTTGCTGGGTCCCACACACAGTCAGAGCACACGCTGGCGGTCTTTGAGTGCCTGGCTGATTTCACTTAACAACTCAACTCCTTTTTACGGCTGAATAATACTCTGCTGTGTGTACTCACCACGATGTCTCTATCATGAAGGCATCTGGGGGGATCCCACATGCTTGGTAATTTCAAGCGTGCAGATAAGCATGTGATTATCTGGTCTCCTCTGGCTGTATACCCAGGGTGGGATTTCCAGACCATATGTTAGCTCTGTTTTAGTTTTTTGAGGACTGTCCACCTGTTTGCCCACAGGGGCTGTCCTGATGATCCTCCCACTGCCAGCGTTTGAGTTTGCCTCTGTCTTCCCTAGCATTTGCTCATTCTGTCTTGTTGGTGATGGTCACCCTTACCATGGTGAGATGGTGCCCCGTGGTGGTTCTGAGCTGCATTTCCCTGATGATGTGTGAGACCACCCATTTCTTCCTGTACTCTTCAGCCATTTGTGTGTCTTCTTTGGAGAAATCTTTAGTTCTTTTATTCATTTTTTTCAGTTGGATTGTTTGCTTTTTTTTTTTTTTTTGGTCAACTTTTTTAATTCCTTACATATTTCAGATGTCAACCCCTTGTACAAATAGTCTGCAGACATTTTTAGCACTCTGAAGGGTGTCTCATGCTTTTGCTTGTTTCCCTTATGGGTCAGAAGCTCCTTAGTTTGTGAAATCTGTTTGTCTGTTTCTGGTTTTGTTTCCTGTGCCTTTGGAGTCCCAGCTAAAGATCACTGGCTTCCACCAGTGCCTTGAAGTATTGTTCCTGTTTTCTTGTAGTAATTTCGTCGTTTCAGGTTTTGCACGTAGGTCTTCATACACTTTGAGCTGGCTTTTGTGTCTGGTTTGAGGCAGGCTCCAGTTTTATTCCTCCTCGTATGCGCATCTGGTTTTGCCAGCACCACGTAGCGGAGGCTGCCTTTCTCCTCCGTGTGTGTGTGTGTGTGTGTGTGTGTGTGTGTGTGTGTGTGTCTGTGGTCTGTAGCGGGGTGCGTTCATTTCCCCTGCTCGCTTTTCTGACCCACTGGGGTGTGTGACTGATTTTACGCTGTCACCATCCTCTTGTTTACTCCAGCTTTATAGTGGGTTTTGAAGTCAAGTATTGTGGTGTCTGTAGCATTTTTTAAAACTCAGGATTGCTTTGGTTAATCTGGGTCTTCTGTGATCCCATATGAATTTTAGGATTTTTTTCTATCTTGTTTTGTTTTCTGGTGTGGGCTTGGTATGTTTAATAGTTTAATGGGTACTGAGTTTCAGTTTTACAAGATGGAAAAGTGTGAGGTTTTTTTTTTGTTTTGTTTTGTTTTGTTTTGTTTTGTTTTTTTGAGACAGAGTCTCACTTTGTAGGCTGGCCTTGAATTCATGGTGATCCTCTTGCCTCAGCCTCCTGAGTGCCACCAGCCCTGGCTGGAAAAGTGTGATCTTTACACAGCAATATGAATACAGTGAGTACCACTGAAGTATACACGTAAAATGGCTGAGATGGCTGGGTGTGGTGGTACATGGGTGTAATCCCAGCTACTGAGGAGGCTGAGGCAGGAGGATTGTAGTTTGGGGCAACCTTGAGCAACTCAGCAAGACCCCATCTCAAAAAATAAATACAAAGGGATAAGGATATAGCTCAGTACTCCTTGGGTTCAATCCCAGTACCACAAAACAAAGCAAAACAGGAATGGATAGGGCAGTACATTGTGAGTTTTTAAAAACAGTTTTAAAACAACTGCTTCACCAAGTTGCTCACCCTTCCTCTAACTGTCCATTCTCGCGTTGATTTGTGAGGACAGCTGAGAAAGGGAGTAGTGCTGTCCGCCTATGCTGGCCCCTCTCCCAGCACCCCTCCAGTGGGGTCTCCAGGTGGGTGGTCCTGCGGGAACACAGCTCCTGTGGGCAGTGCTGAGCCATGGCTCCATCTCCTTCCCTAGCTGCCATGGTGTGGACAGTGGGCATGGCAAAGCTGGACCCGTCCTCCCAGGGTGCCTTGCAGCTGCCCTATGACCCAGAGATGGGTGAGTATCGGGGTGACAGCTTATCATCACTGGGCCACTGTCTCCCCTATACCCCCTTGGTGGCCTGGTCTCTGGGAGGCGGAAGCACGTGTCACCTGACAGCCAGTCCTCCGCACGCGTCAGCTCCCAGCCAGACTGGGACTGAGCAGGGGTTGATTATCACCCGTGCCTGGGATGTTGGTGGCTGGGGACAGGGACACCTCGGGGTCTGGCCACCATGCTGCGGGGCGGGGAGCGTCTTGTTCCCAAGGAGCCCCTCTGACCATCTGTCTCTCCCTTGCCCCTTCCTCCGGACACCCAGAAGAAGACTCCTACGACAGTTTTGGGGAGCCCTCGTACCCTGATGTCTTTGAGCCTCCCCTGCCTGGCTACCCCGGGGAGGAACTGGAGGAAGAGGAGGAAAGTAAGGTCCCCATGCTCAGTGGTCGCTGTGGGGTTGGGTGGGCCAGAGCTCCCTAAGATCCGGGTAGAGGCTGCACCATTCCTAGATCCACAGTGTCAGGGCTGTGGCCTTGAAGGGCAGCCAGCCCAGCACAGGGCACAGGGCACAAGTCCCAGCCAGGGTCAGCAGTGCATGCAGATGCAGTGGAGGATGCTGGGAAGGACACAGGGGCACAGGGTCAGACAGACGGATGGCGTGAGCACTGTGCGTGTCCTATGAAGGGTAAGGGGCTTCAGCCAGCAGGCGCTGGGCAGAGGACGCGGGACCTGGTGCCTCTGGAGTCCCAGGGTGACCCAGGACAGACACAGGGCTTTCTGAGTCCTAGCGGGAAATGCAGAGAGGTGAGGATGTCAGATACAAGCCCTGCGGAGACCTGCTCTGCCCGAGCCACAGCGCCCGGCTCTTCAGCAGTGCCGGAAAGCCTAGGGAGCCCCAGTATCATGACTAAATCCCCAGTTACGGGTTTCTTATTCTCAGGGAAAGGGGCTCTAGAAGGCTTCCACACATTGTTAGCCATGTTCTTGAAAGGAGTGAAATCAAATTTCCAAAGAGAACCTGTCCTTCTCCTGGCACCAAGTGACACAGCGCTGCCCTGCCCTCGGCCCCTGCCCAGTGCCAGCTTCTCACTGCCCAGACTCTCAGTGCTCGGGCCCGCGACCCCTTTCCGCACTCAGCTGTCTCTCCGGGCCCCACACCTTTGTCCCCAGTCGCTGCGGACTCCGCTGGAACCCCTTGGCCACTTGCATTCTGCAGGGTGGCCGGGCTTCCTCACCTGCCAGAGTCCCCTGTCCTTCACCTGCTGTCAGCTCCGGGACTGACCGTGCCTCTCTCCCTCTGGACACAGGGGGCGTGAAGCTTGGCCTGGGCGACTTCATCTTCTACAGTGTGCTGGTGGGCAAGGCGGCAGCCACGGGCAGTGGGGACTGGAACACCACGTTGGCCTGCTTCGTGGCCATCCTCATTGTGAGTATGGGGTTACCCTGGGGGCCCCTCCGGAGCCTTCTTCCCTGAGAGGACCCTCTCTAGGCCGTGGGACAGTGTAAGGGGGGGGGCCTTGGTGCACAGTGCTTCGTGGGCTTGTCCCTGAAGGTAAGTCTCTGTGACCTGAGACTTACCGAGGGGAAGCAGTTTAAGGGCCATGGGCACAAGGCTAGCGATGAGGATGCCTTTCCTGCTGCACAGCTGCTGTTCCCCCCAGGCCTCGGGGACCAGAGTGTCCTGGGCTCAGGTGGGTCTAGAAGTGCCACCTGGCCCGATGCACATCCTGGGGAGACATTATCCTGACCTGTCACCTTGGAGAGCCTTCCTTATAGCTGAGAAAAGTCAGAATCTGACCGTGTGGCACCCACATCCTGTCCTGTGCCCCAGGAACACGCTAGGTGTCACAGGGTGGGACTTGTAGCTAAGGGTGGTGCCCCAGAGCAGGCATCATGGACCCCAGGCTGCTCCCCTCCATACTCACCTCCACCCCACTGTCCCCTCTTAGATGCCTGGGGTATCTAGGAATAGGTGGTAGGAAGGGCCATGAGGGGACATGGCTCCTTTGGTTTGGTGTTGGTTCTCCCTTGGTTTCCTTGGTGTTGGCTACTGAGATCCTCACTGGTGTCTTAGTCAAGCCATTTTGTCCTGCTGTCTCTTTGGGGTGGCCATCCTATGTCACTGCCGTCCCTGGAAGGAGGATGGGCATGGTGATCAGATAGAAGTCCAGTCCTGGCGTATCTGGGCCCAGGGACAAAGGAGCAGGCCAGCAAGCTCCTGCCCATCCACACTGGTGGTCACTGCGTCCCTTTCCTTGGTGTCCACAGGGCTTGTGTCTGACCCTCCTGCTGCTTGCGGTGTTCAAGAAAGCACTGCCCGCGCTCCCCATCTCCATCACCTTCGGGCTCATCTTCTACTTCTCCACCGACAACCTGGTGCGGCCCTTCATGGACACCTTGGCCTCGCACCAGCTCTACATCTGACCTGCGGACGCCTCACCGGACGCAGCCCTGTAGTTTTACACTCTAGTGCCATATATTTTTAAGACTTTTCTTTCCTTAAAAAAATGATACTGTGCTCACTTTGTGATGAGAAACAGAAGCCGCTTTTTGGTGCTAGCTGTTTTGTCCCCAGACTCCGCCTCACCTGTGTGTGGGCCTCGTGTCACCCACAGAACTGGGAAGGCCGAGGGGCTGCAGGCTGGGAGAGGATGCCCTTCCCCTCCCTAGAGGACCGGGGGCCTTGAAGGCACAGGAAGGAGGTGAGCAGTGAGCTCCGGGCTTTCTCTGTGGTGCCCCTGTTATTTTATTCCGTTTAGGAACCGAGTCCTGGTCTCCCTGCTGGGGCGTGGGTTAACGTGTACATCAATAAAGCGATGCCTCCTGTCGTGATGCTGGCATTGGGTCTGTACCCAGGGGCTGCCCCACATAGCCGGGTGCAGGCAAGGGCATCACCCCGTAATGAAGGGGAGAGGCATTGCCGTCTCCCTCTCACATCCTGAGTCACAGTTTCCTGGGCTGAGGGGAGTGGGACAGGATGGGGAGCTTAACGTCCAGGGCTGTGCAGCCCAAGCTGGGGGCCTGAGCCTAGAGATCCTGGCCTCGGCCTCAGTCTGGCAGCATCAGAAAGGCTGCAGGTGATGGCTCCCGAGTGTTCCCTGGTGCAGGTCTGTGTACACCTGGGTGCCCAGCCACCCTCTGAGGAAGCCACATGGTGGAGAGGAGAGGACAGGGAGGCTCTGCCTGCAGCTAACATCGGACATGGTGTGGACACCACACAGAAGAGATCCCTGTCCTCTGGGGCTGCTGAGAAGACAGGTGTAGGCAAATCGTGTTCAGAGCCTTGGCTTCTCCTTGTCCCTGAAGTTGCGGGTGCTGGCTGTGTATTTGAGAGGAATAAAATGGCCCTGCCTCTCAGTGCGGGATGGAGCTTTCCTCCCCTGTGCTGCTGGAGGAGCAGGGGCAGCCCGGTAAGGTAGGGAGGGAGGAGGAAGAGGCCGCATGCTGCCGGGTGCTGTGAGGTGTGGGGTGGCGGCTCCCACGGCCAGCAGCCAGAATCCTGCTGATGCTGACACTGAGAGGCCCGGAGTAGTGGCATCGATCACAAAGCTAAAGTGGAGTGACTAGACAGCATGACTGTCCTAAGTGGTGAGAGCTCCCGGAGGATGGAAGCAAACTGAAGGGGCCACTGAATACGCGATCGAGCAGTGTCGCCTGGGAAGATGGGAAGCAGCCTGGGTTCCCACAGGTGCCAGCTGGTGAATGTTCTGATTTCACAGCTGGGAGAGGACCTGGGGAAAGGCCTGGCCATGGCTGCAGGTGGGAGCCCTGCAGCAGTGAAGGCAATGTATGTGGGCAGGGAGGTGGCGTGCAAGGACCCTGTGGAGGGGAAGGAAGATCCCCAAGGAGATACAGCTTGAGGACCCAGGGTGCAGGGAGACAGGGGACCTGGGACATCAGCAGAAAACAGGAAACATGTGAGGCGTTTAAAGACAGGATCGAAACATGCTGACACAAGCAGAGATGTGCGCAAACATTCGGGTCCCCCCGTGTAGCCAGTTTCCTGCCTTTCCATATTCGCTGCAGCTTTGTTCTTAGAAATAGAGTTCTCAAGTCCTGTTTGTATGGCCCCATCTTGTCATGCTCCCCAGTTTCTGTCCTTCCAGGTGTGCCCAAGTGGCCCGGGGCACTGTTGGTGTCACTGTGCCCCACACACCAGGGCATGGGAACCAGGCTTGGCCCTGACCAGGAGAACAGCAGACATCTGTGTGTTTTCCAGGAGAGCTGTTCCCTTACAGAGATGTACAGATGTCAGTGTCTTTTGCTTTATTCTGCTTGTGTGGGACACACATGTAACACTGTGAGATGTCACAGCCACTTTATGACTATGAAGACAAATGCCCCAAACAAAGCACACACAGCCACAAGGCGGTTGGGGGCCTGATGACGTCCTTGAGCAGCTGCCTTAGCTACCCAAACTGCTTGTTGTGTGATAAAAACAAACCCCCACTGTATTGGGGCTTCTAGGCCATGTGGTCAAATGCAGTCCAATTACTGCATTGTTGCTCCACAGTCTTTGCTCACTTGATAACCCTTCCTCCTCTCAGATTTACTTCTCTTCCCCCACACTGGGGAGCAGGCGGCAGCTGTGTTCCTTCCAGGGTAGGATGTCACTTGGGCCCAGGCGGCAGAGGCGGTGGGGCAGCTCAGGGGCTTTGACACGGCCATGTTTATCATTCATGGTTGAATCTGTCACACAGGTCGGGACAACAGATCTCCACAGTGGGTGGCTCTGTGTTGCTTGTGTCTACAGCAGCGTTCGCTGCATGGTTCACAACACAGAAAGTGCTGGGCCTCGGCAGCGGCTTTAGACCCTCACGTGTGGTGTGCAGGCTCGGGCAGTGCAGAGTGTGTCCCCTGCTTCTGTGTGCCCGGGTCCCCATGGTGCATGGCAGGAAAGCGGCCACACGGAGAGATGTGTGGGCCACGGTGTGCAGGGCAAGACTCAAGGCGTCTCCCCGCCCTTGTCCCATCCCAGAAGTGGTTCTGTTAGCTCCGTACCTTCTGAGCTGTCCTGCACCAATGCAAGGGCCTCGCTGGACCCAACGGCCTATATATCGACTCATGCAGCTGAGCGGCTGGAGAGGAGCAGGACTTCCCTGAGTGGGGCGCTGGCCAGACCTCACAGTGATGCAGTTTTTTCCTTAAGTCACTCGCAGGCGTGGCTTGAGAGATGGGTTAAGTTTCCTTTCAGGATTTTTTAAAAAAAAATTTAGTTTTCCTCATCTGTAGCCAGCAAGAACTCGAACCTCAGAGTTTGTCCAGTCCCAGCGCCCAAGGATGACACAGACACCCCCATGTCCCCTGGACGCCAGCGCATTCTAGACACAGCCAGGACCTATGTGGGCAGAGGGCCTCGTGGGTTCTGACCAGTGGTGGTGGCTTCCACGAGATCCCCGAGCTGTTCTCCTCGGGCTGAGCAGGCGTTGGCAGGCCGTGGCAGGGCCTCTTTGCTGGTGGTCAGTGTCCAGCGCTGTGCTGTGTGCTCTTCTCACCTGTGGCCTACTCTATGACATGAGATCAGAGACAGTCCTCAGTCTATGCTATGTGTGTGTGTCCTGCTCTCATCCGGCCTCTTGATCACATTACCTCCTTTTTTTTTTCTTTTTGTCTTTTTGAGACAGGGTCTCGCTATGTAGTTCTGGCTGGCCTTGGGCTCACTTTGCAGCCCAGGCTGGTCTCGAACTTGCAACAATCTTCATGCCTCAGCCTCCCGAATGCTGGTCCGTTTTCCCCATCCCCGGGGGTGCGGCCGCTCCTCGTCCCGGGAAGCCCGGGGGAGGGGGGTGCTCAGTCGGCGCCAGTGTGAGCCCTGCTGCTCCTCACCGGTTCCCAGGCATCTCGGGAAACCACGCCCAGCCGCGCACCGGCGTCCGTTCCTCGGCCCCGCGGCTCCGGGGAGCTGGGGCGGATCCCCCGGGCTCTCTAGAGGGATCTCTTTCTTCTTTCCGACTTTGTCGCCTTTTCCGCGCACTGTGAGGCTTCTGCGCGCCCCTCGGACCCCACCAGGTCGTCTTGGAAACAGGGACTCACGGCCAGGGTGCGCCGCGGCTCGGAGGCCGGAGCGATTCCCAGCAGCGCGGGCGGCTCCGCTGCGCCAAGAGCGGGGCGGCCTGGACGGCAAAGCCCGGGGTCCGGGCGGGGCTCCCGGAGGGGTCGTTGCGGCATCCGGGGGCGGGCTCCCGAGAGCCCCGGCAGAGCCACAGCCGCCGGGTCGCCGGGGAGCAGCCTCCAGTCTGGATTCTTTGCTGTTGGATTTTCCAGTCTTTCTGAGACAGGGTCTCACTAGGCGGCCCAGGCTGGCCTCGAACATGCAAGGATCCTCCCCGCTCAGCCTCCACAGTGCTGGGATTGCAGGCTGAGCCTCCACGCCCGGCCACCTCACACGAACGCAAACTGGGGCTGCGGGCGTGACACACGGGCGGGGTCCCGCCGTTCCTCGTGACCCCGCGGCATCGCCGATGTGAAGGAAGCACAGCGTCTCATAAAATGCATGAACGCTCTGCACGGAGGGGCGTGCAGATCTGCCACTCCGGGCTGCACCCAAGGCGCAGGGCCTGGGGCACTGGCGCCTCCGGCCACGCGGGGAAGCAGGGCTCCGCGTGGGCTCCGCGCCGCCCCACTGCGCCCCCTGGGGGCCAGCGCCGCTCTGCTGGGAACCTCTGTGTAGGTGACTGAGGATTTTGGTCGGTTTCAGTGCCTATCTGGGTCCTGTTAGAGGATTTTACCTGGGGGTGGGGGCGGGGGCGCTACTCGGCCCAGAGCTCAGACAAAGGTTTCTGTGATGTGAGGACCCCCCTCCCTGAAATCCTGGTGCACAGCCAGTGCAGAGGCTCTGGTAAGAAATTTCAGCTAAAACCCTACGCATTTAACTCAACGGACCATGAAGTCATCCTTACACATCCTTACGCAACTGAGAATTAAAGACGGTAGCATTGGTAATCCCGTCCCTCTCTAAATCTCCCTCCCCTAAAAAATAACTTTCCTCTGTTGTTTTCCAGGTAACAAGGTCAAAATGAGGACAGAACTGTCTCCTTCCATACGCACTAATGCGAAACACACAGAGGCAAACAATCCAAGATCATTTATATATGATAGTGAAGTGTATTGTTCCATTTTTATTGGACAGAATATTTTCTGAGTTAAATTTTGATTACGCATCCATTAAATGATCAAATCGATGCTTAAAGCTATGTCTCTTGGGCCGCTGAGTCTGAGAACAAGGAAGAAAATGACCTAGATATTTTTGATCAGCTTTACTAATTGGAATAAAGATAAGGATATAGAATTTATTTTTGGCACTGAAAATTTCTTCAAATCCAATATATCTTTATTAAATTAGCATATATCCATTCAATTTCTATACATTATAGAAGACCCAGCACTTAGGAGGCTGAGGCAGGAAGGTATGAGTTTCAGCCCAGCCTACGCTGTATTGTGAGGTCAAGTTGTGCCTGAATTACAGAGTATGGCTCTGTCTCAAAACAACAACAAAAATGATGTGAGATTTGGGGGTGCTGACATGCACCTGTAACGCCAAATCTTTGGGAGGCTGAGACAGGAGAATCAGAAGTTCCAGACCAGCTTGGAAAGTTTAGCAAGATCTTGTCACAAACTAGAACATTTGAAATAAAGGCCTAGGGATATTGCTCAGTGTGAAGCTATATCCCAGATTCAAGCCCCAGTGTTAACAAAACAGCAACAATATCAAAAAACCACAGAGGTACTTTGACAGCTGTGTGGGGACAGAGGGGGCTCAGCACCCAGATTTCTCTGTCATCACAATCCTGCCTGGCATGATAAATCAGAAAATGGGGCACAGAATCAGGCAC